AGGTAACCCTGATCGTGATTAAAAGTGCCCGTTTGACACTGGTATAAGTGGCATTACAGTGTGTCGTAAAATAACATAAGGATTCATTGACCTACTAGCATGCCTTTAAAATTTATGTTCTATGTTATATTTATGTTCTATTTATATTCTGGCTGAACGGTGTTCTGCACTCAATACCATGGCTCAGAGTGGTGCTGGTTAGTGCGTTCAAAATTAGATATGATACAAATACATAAGGAAGCAGATAGCCGTAGCAGATGTTGCAGGATATAGCTGCAGCAGATTGCCAAGGAGATACTTCAGCTCAGTTAGTGGGCTACCATATGCACAGTACAGGTGTGGGCTTGACTCTTCGCAGTGGCTTGTTGCTTTTCTGACCACCTGCATTTTCCTCTCCTCATTATTTTTAGATTTCGTGCTATACTTTTCTTAGGTTAATTGTCAATTGTCGTTGTGTGGTCACTACACATTATTTGGAGTTGCAAAAAAACTCAGCTTCTTTGAATTTCTCTTGCACTAGCGGTGTGCCAAGTGCGATAGTTCTAAATTTGTATGGTACTTGTGCATTAGAAAAGCACGTCCCTGATAAGCCAAGCCTGACAGCCAGCGACGCGTAGCAGGAAGGAGCATTGTCAAGGCCATCTACGCATGGGAGCAGAAAAGACAAAAAGATAAATTCTAAACGATAGAGGAAAGGGAGGCGCTTCCCGATGAGCGATTGACAGGCATTATGTAATGCCGCTGAGCGACCCAAATGCCGTCCTCGCCCTTATCACCAGTGTAAGGGTAGCTTTATCACAGCGATGACAGACAGAACAGCTTGACTCACCACTCGTTAGTCTCTGGCTCTGGGAGCAACCACTTTCAACCATGGATGTGCTGAGATACAGTCTGATGGCCAGGATGGCGCTTATGTGTGTGAGTACCCATATAGTTGTCACTGTGACTGAATTCACTCTTGCATATATTTCCAAGGAAGAAAGTTACTTGGCAAGTACATTGATTCAGGCTATTAGTGGGACCTGCATGTGGGAGTCTAATCGTCAGTTGCTGAAAGGAATTCATTCATCGGTTGATTGATTGAAAACATTTTCCAAAGCAGGATTTAATAAAATTTCTTTTTTTTTCTTGCACAAGTGCAACTTGCAGATAGTTATCATGTGCGACTAAACTGTAGTGCTTTGTATGAAGTCAGGATGTGATACTGCCGACATTTTATTCTCGCTTGGTTTTATCTTTATTTTTATTCTCGCTTGGTTTTATCTTTATGCATCTATATTTTATGGGCAGTACACAATAAGTGTTAGGTAAAGAACAGCATTCTGTCTAATTCTTCACGTCCGCTCTTTTCATCCTGTTCAGACTACAAGAAAGAAGAAAGTTTGTTTTCCTCAGAGGATGCATTCTATATTGGGGGGGCAGGGAGGGGGGCAGGTAGAGTAGAATTTTTGATGAGAAAAAAAGGCATAATGGGCTAGGAGGACAATGAGGACAATTCAAGATGGTTCAGCTATTTCGTGCAGTGCCCTGTTCTCTCGGCATTCTCATCCCCCTTTTTTTTTTAGGTATCAGCTCACATTCTAGACTGTGTAGTCCTTGCATTTTATGGACTGGACAAACCTCAAACGAGGCACTTTGGTCAAATTGCCTGATATTCAAGATTTGCAGGCAATACAATAAATAAATTATTTACAAAAGATGCATGAAGCTCCAGCTTGCTAGCTTGTCACACAGGTAATGCTTCTTTGTAATCTTTCCAGTTTAATTTTTTTTTCTGATTTTGTCTGTCCCTTTTTTTTTATTTTTGCATTACTTTGAGATAACAAATTCATAAGTTGTACAAGTTTTAATTTACAGCTAATATTGCCTGGAATCATTGTGCAGTCCACCTCTGAATATTTTTAAGGGTGGGGCACATTATTGTTTCTAGAGTGAAAAATTTGTAAAAATAATCTTTGGAAGAGTGCCTATGCAATATAGTCAACTGCTTTTTTCTTTGCTCACTTCTGTGTTAAGGAAATATTGAAACACTCTATACTTTATAATCTATACCTATAAGTGTATATTCTAAACCACTTGTTACATTAAATGCGAAGAATTTCTGAGTGAGCCAAAGATACTTTTGAGTGTTTCTATCTCTCAGTACTCTCACGGTTGCCTTCTTGACTTGGTGTACAACAAAAAATTGGTATGGGAGAGCGAGAAAGTTTAACAAGGAGGAGGAATACATGAGGAAGGACAGGGAGGTTAGAAAGTTTAACAAACATGAATGTATGGCTATGGCGTGAATAACCTGAAAATCCTGGCATATATATCATGAAACCCTTTCTTACGGATATGCATGGCGCATAGCCGTACACCACAAAACGCGGTATGCAGGTAAGCGCCACCGGGGATTGACAGTTAGCTTCTACACAGGAATGGCAAGAATAGATGTTGGTCATGTAAATTTGAGAGCAATAAAAAACACCAACATTGGCAGCATTGTCCCAACGAATGCAAGTAATGAAAATCACCATCCCAGCAGGAAGCAATCTCAAACTCGGCAGTCGGGTATTCTTTCAGAGCCAGGCCAGGTCTTGAAAGTGCTTTGGAAAAAGGCCCTATGCAGGACGTAATGCCGTTGCAATGCCAATTGTGGTTGCAGTGCTGCTTATCTAATATTACAACGAATAAATAAACATTACATATGTGCTCCTATGATGCAGGCTTCATGTTGGGATAGCGTCAGTTGTGGTTCCAGTGATGGCTTCGTTTTAATAGTGGTCTAATGAACATTGTTCGTGTTTCTATAATTCAGCAAGCTATATTTAAGCATTGCTCAACCGCCGAGGAATGTGCAAATGAAACTTGCGTATGACATTCGCATTGTTGCACCTGCAAAGTGCTCGTTGTGCAGATAATACTAACGCCTGTGCATTACGCCAGACCATAAGTTACCATATTACCATCAGTGTTATTAGTGTTTCTGGCGAGCCTATGATGTGCACACAACTTGATGCTTACAAAAACATGTCGATCCATCTCGCAATACTTGCCTGAAAGCTAAAAAATGCAGCATTGAGAAGTACTGCTTTGCATAAAACTGATTTCCACAAGGTTTGAGATCTGCTGATCTTTCTTTTTCTTTTTGTGAGGACTTGTTTTAGAGTCTAGTTTGGTTTTTCTTATCACGTCATTATGCAGAGGCTTGCTTCATGTCTGGGATGATATTACAATGTTATGCCTTATGCTATGCTACGCTTATCCTCCACCATTTGTGATGATAACGTGGGCCGATCGTTGCTCAGACTACTGGCCAAGCGCAGGAATCACTGGCATCGGAAAAAGTATCGCTCCGAGATAGCACCCCTGCTGCTGCCCCATGTGAGCAGAGCCAAATGAAATGCACACAGTATTTATAAAATAAATTTTATTGTTGCATTTGCAACGGAGTTTGATATCTATTGCAGGGTCAGTGGTGGCACGTCCAACCTTGCAATGCCAATGCTATAGTAAAGCGCTTTGTAAGTTCATATTGGTAAATTATTCTCTAAAAACTATACTGTTATTTTGTAACTGCACTTTGAGTATTAAGAAAGAAAAGAAGTATGAGAGTATAGTTACTGAATTTGATTGAATTTCATTCCAATGGCCAATATATTCAATATGCCACCTGTATTTTGTTTTACGCACTTTGTGGCTTTCCAAGAGTCGCGCTTAGGTAATAGTGTTGGTAAGCCAAGTTTATTGGCTTAGCGATAGTCTGGCAATAGTGGTGCTTTTCATATTGTATAAATGTGTTTTACTGACACAAGCGAAACAGTCTTTCTCATTGATGCCCCTTTGACATTTCGGCTGTGTGGGAGTACACATGCACTAAACTGATAGCACAGCTCGTACAGTCCACCCGCACTCGAGCGCAACATTTGTTTATTTACCTCGGCGTACGGATGACACGGTGGCAGAAACACTGATTAGATGAGCCAGCCACGCTTCTGTAGTCGGACCAAAAGGCACTGCCTCACGTTCTGCGTATTGTCATTGTCGCCTCTTAACGGGACGGTGTCGTCTCTCACTCAAGTTTTTTGTTTTTTTCCCTCTCAGCAAAGCATTGTTCAAAGTCATTGAACCTGATATAAAATTGAATGTTAGGTAGAGCCAGGGATGTTGCGTGGTCAAAAAAAAGGAAAGCAACAGGGAAATCAACAATACGAGAAAGAAATCCCGTGTTTTGATGAAAAGTCGGGGAACAATAATTGTCGCTGGTGGCAAATTTACCACAAAGAGAATTTACTTCATTAGTGTAGCAGGAGCTTTCCTTAGTGTACTCTTTGTGCACCTAGGCCTCCCTCACTCTCTCTCAATAAGAGAGGGTTTGACAGGTCGCTCTCAAAGGAGAAGCGTGAAAGTGAGTGAGGTAGGTGTACAACACGGGTTAACGGGTTGAAAAATTAACGGACTGAAACGCGACACCGTTCTTTCTTTCAATATAGTGACTATGAGTAGTTGCTTGTGATAACTGCATCATGTCCCTGCGGTTCTGGTCACTAATGGTTATGTTGACTCTGATGTAAGTGTTTGAGTCAATTACGTTGGTATGAAGCAAACTGTAGATGATAGAAGTGAACGCGTGTGTATCACTTAGCCCTAAATTGTTGCATTTCACTCCGCGAGTACTGTGTGGATAAAATACTGATAAGGAAAGCAGGTGCTGTTTTGAAGAAGCAAAGTCTATATTTTTTTAAATGTTGACTCTGACAACATTCGTTTCTCAAGGGCTTATTGTTGCTTCAATCTTAAGTCTTCTTGTGTAAGTCTGTCTTTTTAGGGTGCCGTATTTTCGTGTATTTTGTCTGTTCTGTGTTATTCTGTCGTACGTCAATTTTTTCTTTTTTCCCCTAAGTTTGTTGGAGAAGGTACAGTAAATGGGGAAACAGAAAATACTGGTTGACTGCTAAGATTCACACATGATGAATACATGCGGCGTGACTTACTGCTGATCATATTGAAACTTGCAGGATTCGAACCCTTAAAAGATGAGAGAAATAACGAGACTGTAAGTTCATTTTCTTTTCACACCATTAATCTTGATAAGCTAAGGCTCTTCTTAGCTGGTCACTACGTTGTCAGAAGCAGTACAAAGGCATCCTACCGTGCACAAAGCAGCAATATCAAGCCTGTTTACATTCTTATAATTGCACATTCACTTACATTTTGAATAGTTTTATTTCTTACAGTACAAGTACAACATTTGTACATAAGTGTTTAATCACAACACCAAAGTTTAGTTTCCAAGTTTTATAGAGAATATGGTTTAGGCAGTCATTTGCAACATAAAGCACTTTGAAAACATAAAGCCTACGTGTACAGTTCAGATAATACAGCTGATTCAATGTTGTAAAGTTGTATTAATCATCAATCGGGCAAACGCTATGCCATAGTTACTAGTCTCATTTTGTTCTTGCATCTAGTGCTGGAGCAATAAGATGAAGTTTTAAGAAACTAAAAAAAAGAGAGTGGTTGTACATACTTTCACACTCGAATAAAAAAAAAATTCTTGATTGCACACATTGTTTTGTCTGACAATCGAATGCAGGGCATTTCTTTAGAGCTGTCCTTTCGCTTTGTGCTTTGTCGTGTGAAAATTGTCAGTGTTAACTGTTCTTACTTTGTTTCTATGCTTCATTTTAAATCAGAATCAGCTGATTCATGTCAACAAGATGTTGCTAAGTGCAAAAGATATATGTACACACTCTTAGTTCTTGTTAATAATATGTCTAACAAAAAAAATTAGATCTTAAATTTACAGTTTTTTATGTACCGAAGGAGGTCACTTATTTATAAATTGAATTGGAACCTAATTTTTTTGCAATAAATATTTACCTAATTGTGCTTTGTGTGCATAAAATTCCTCCTGTTTAGACTTTGTCTGCAGTATGCATTACTTAAGTTAACAAATATTATCAAAATAAGCCCAGTAGTATTTTTTTGCTAAGTAACTTATCTGCCACATATAGGAATACATGGAATGATGCAGTCACTTGAAATAAATTTTTACACAGCTTTTGTCCCGTTCTCATGGGAATGTAGTGGGACGCATGGTGAGAAATGGGAAAGCAACGAGAAGAATGTGGGTAATAAGAGTGTCAGTGCACTCAAGAAGTTACCAAAGCAAACAAAGTGCTTGAGATGAAGTATAGAATGAACTGCACAACTCAAAAAAGCAAACTGAAATAGGTCAAGTACAACAGATGAAAGTTAATTTGAGATTAGAGGAAGTACTTTAGAGCTTCTTTTATATAATTAAAAGTTAGGTGGTTGTCTGGGTAGGTTATTGTTTATTAATATACTTGTTTTGTTCTGTGTGTAAGTCAATCCCAGTGAAATCAAAAAATGAGCTTATGATCATGTAGGTCGTTATGACCTGTGCACAATATTAAATTACGGAGATATTGATGATGAAGTCTGGCATCCGTAGAGCACAAGAGGGAGGGTGCCAAGGCAGATAGGTGAAATATCGAAAAATAATGGAGGTAATGACTTCATCAGAGAAATACTTAAAGCCATTTCAATTAAGACTCTGGGCACTCGGGCTGGGTTGGCTGGGCACTTAGTGAAGGAGTGAAAAGTGACGTGCTCATGAAAGTCAGAGCTAAATAAAGAAAATGTGGCTAACTGAAGAGGAAGGTGGCTGACAGTGACAGGGCAGGTACAGTCATCATAAGTACTAACTGGTTTGACCTGTAATACCATCAGGTATTGCGGGGCAAGCCATTGCGACTGTTTATAGAGAAAATGCAGCACATTGAAGCTTTCTCATGTAACAGAATTATCATTAAAAAGTTGATTTGATTGATTATCTAATAGTGTTAATTATTAGCTGTTGGGACCTATTTGTTGAAGTAGGTAATAAAGTCTGTTAAAAGTTCTCCTTATTTTAAAAACTTTCCTTCTCCTCTCCCCTTCCCCAGTGCAGGGTAGGCTGCCGGGACCAGTCCTGGTTAACCTCCCCGTCTTTCTCCTTATTCTCTCTCTTAAGTCATTTACCTGCCCTCACCCACTTGTTGTAGCATAAAGGATAGAGGGTTGCACTGCTAAGCTGGAGGCTGCAGGTGCGATTTCTGGCCACAGCAGCATTTCCATGAGGGGCAAAATGCAAAGGCAGCCGCAGGCTTACATTTGGGTTTATGCTGCAGACCCTAGATTATCAAAATTCATCCAGATTCTTTCTTCATGGCACATGTCAAAATTATATGCTGTTTTTTCGCATGTACGACCTCAGAAATCACTTTATCATCTAAAACTTTGGGCTTTTTCTAGTCTTATTTTTATCGTCATGACCCTTCTATTGAGCTCCCATTTAGGTATCTCTCAGTAATCTTTTGATTGCCCTTGATGTGACCTCCGACAGTGATGAAACCTTTAGAAAGTGAGGCCTCATTATGCCTCTGTGGTGCTTTGAGGGGGGACATGACTGATTGCATGGTGCTGTGACTGTCCCTTCCCCATTCCCCCTCTTCATTTGTGTGATGCAGGCCCCTGAGGCTCCCGGCATGAAGCGCAAGAAGAGCCCGCAGCCGGGCCATCGGGTGCTGGTGCCCACTGCTGACAGCCCCGGGCCCCTGTCGCCCCTGCAGCACGGCCCACCACCGATGCGTGCCCGGGGCTCCTCTGCGGGCTCCCTTGACGACGACATGGTGGCCGACAACACCACAACACTGGTAAGTGGGTCAGGGCTCTGGTTTCTTCATTTGTGTGTGCTCTTTACTGCATGTTGCCTTAAATAATGGTGGTGTCAGTTATGTCACGGCATAGGGTTAGCGTCACAGGCCTGGGTGTGGTCTCTCACACATGTACGAGTGTTTTGCCTATATTCATCATCTAGTAACACAACGAAACTGCGCTTGTGCTCACTGTTTGCAAGAATAGTAACGGGACCACCATTAGTGCTGCCTTTGGTATAGCTAAACAAGGTCTACTGTTAGCTAGTTTTCATAGAGGTGGGCAGGCCGGGAAGTGGCTGTTTTAAAATCTTCTTTCATGTAGATTTTTGTGGATTTTATGTTGTGCTCTGTGGATCGAAATGCACTGTTTGCAGTGTTGGCTCAGAAACTATAATTTTGTTTGGACAAACGAGCATTACTGAGATGGATTGTTGACTGCAGCAGCTGAATTTTGTTGAGGGCGAAATGTAAAAACACTCGTGCGCATAGATATAGGGTGCATGTTAAGGAATCATTGGTGGAGGCTAAGAGAGTCAGGAATCCTCCATCTATGGTGTGTCTCGCAAACGTATCTTGCTGTTGTAAACCAAAGCCCTGAAGTTTATTTGGAATTAACTAGAATATGCTCTGTGCGATATTTTTACGAGGTGGCTGAGAAGAATGCATATCACCAGCTTTTGAACGAACATGTCTTGTGGTAGGGCTGCCTTAGCTGTAACATTGCGCTGTTGCCGAAGTGGCACAACAAGGTAGATGAGAATAGAGGGACGTGATGAAGCAGTTGAAGGGCTTAACGAAGAGCCTATGGAGTTCGTTCCATTGTGCGATAGATTAATGTTGAGATAGTGTGTAGCACAGTATGTGTGGAGATTTGTTCAGGTAAATAAAGGAGGATTCTTAATTAGTTTAGTAGAGTAGTAGTAAAGGCAAGCTTAGATCATTCCTGTTCAATATATTACACCGTTTGGACCAATGTAACTGAGCAATTAAAGAGTGCAAATTATAGATTGGTAAACTTTAGCATCAATGTTCTTGTTCAGTCGGGCTTGTGACTCTACAACCTCAAAGTTGAATTTTTATAAATTAGTTTCGATTAGCTCAAGTCAGTTTTATTCAATACGAAAAGCGAGAACATTAAATTACTGAAGAAAATAAAAAAGTACTATGAGCCATGCTCTGCCTTGTCGTCGTGCATCTGAGTCTGGCTGTTAGTAGTGCACTCGAATTGTTTCATCATGTCAGATTATAACGTCCAGCGCTTTCATTTCCGGTTCAAGCGTGCATCACTCCAAAATGCTGTCTGGCGCGCTTTGTCTCTCTTCTTCTAGCCAGTGGTCCGCTCTCACCACCTCCGTCGAGAGCTTTGAAGGCAAGCTGAGCCTGAAGCCGGTCGAGCGATTCTTGGCTTCGGACAGATGGTAGGCTGTGCGTGTGAATGGGTAGCGAGCAAAGTTCCGTTTTTTCTCCCCCGGTACGTAACATGTAGTAACGGCAGGCACTTGGGGCATGCTACATTTTTCATTTGCTTGGCCTTTCATCATTATATGTTCTTTTTTTGCTTCTAGATCGAGCATAGCACTTCTCACCGTATCCGGCTTTGGTTTGATGTGCATTTTTTTTTCTGGCACAGCTGCAGTGCAAATGTCAGTAGTTGCATGAACGAGATTGTTGCTAAAGTAACCTTTCGATTGCACCTAATAACGTAGAACGCAAGGGAACGACATGAACACAATGCTAATTTCTTTCTCTACCATGCTCTTTCAACCATGGGAAAAGTTACTGTGGGTTAACAACACTCCCAAGTGTTGTTATCTTTCGAAGTTCACGATCTCGCGCTATTGTAGGAGCACGATTCTCGGGCTTAGTTTCTTAGTCATATGGTTGATTGACTTGCAAGTTTCGCTTTATTTTAATTTTAGTATAGAATGCCCAGGGTTAAAAAATGAAAAAGTGGCAAGTACGTACTTCTTCTGGATGTGGCATTCAACACAAGAATAATGAAGAATCTTGAAAACCACTACTAGATGAGTGGATGTTACACTGTGTTTCTAAGTATAATGTACCAGTTATCAATTTGAGTGGATGATGTCTGCAGCAGGTTGCCACTCTACTTCGGTGCTCCTGTGACTGAACAATGGTGCCATCCGTCATGGCTGCAATGGATGCCCTGTTTCTGCCAAGGATGCAGCTGGTTACCCACTCCAGTGGTCTGTTGTGGCAGAATTGAAAAGTTCCTTAGCAGTACAGTGGGAGACAACGTCCGCACAAGCTTTTTGTTGATGAAAGTGGCACATCTACTGCCTGCAAATAGGGTATTAGTACACTGGTGTCCCAATTAAATGCTACCTCCATGAGAAAATTTGAAGACAAAATGAACCAGCAGTTTGGCAGTTAGCACTTGTCAAGTCTGAAATAGAAGAGTGACGCCTCTCTTCACAGGAGAGGGGGCAGCTAACTGCTTAGCGACAATGTGGAGTTTCGTTGAACTTGTGAGCACTTGGCTCTGATGCTTATAATAATATCGTCTAACCAATTGCTACACTTGGTTTTGTCATAGCGGGCTACAAAGGCTTGAGGGGCTTCTACTCTATCACTGAAATTTGTCTATGAAAATTGAAAATTCCGGAATGCAGAAAAAGAAACAAAAAAGTTCAAGGGCCCTTGAGTTCTTCTAAAATAAATGCTGTTTTTGAATTTTTTAAGAACAGTGTTCATCCGTTTGCATTCAACCACATGCAATTACCCATGAAGGGTGTCGGTTGCTTAAGACAGCAGGATGGTGGCCATGGAAGTCAGAGTTATTGACGCATAACTCAAAAAGTGACGAGAAGCAGAAAGTGTGCCAATGGGGTAATCTGTGGTGCTGGCATATTAGGCCAATTGAGGGAAGCTGTAGCAGCCCTGTTGAGCCATCAGGGCTGACAAGGTGGCATATTTAACACAGTCTACAATACCGCTCCTTACCTGTGCATTTGGCTTATTGGAAAGCAAGAACTGGACAAGACTAAGCTCACCGATTGCTGAGTAGCCTTCAGCATCATGCTATCATCGCATCTTTGTTGGCCTTCCTTTTGAATTATAGCCCTGGAAGAGTACGACTGCCTTTATTTCAAGATATTTATCATTTTGAATCGACTTACCTGTGATGACAAGGAACAGTGGTGGGCTGCTGAATATGCGAATTACAAAAAAGATAAAGTTTTTAGTACCGTAGGCAAAACAATGATACAGCAAGAGTAATGCAAAAAAAGGAAAATGCTATAAAAAGTAACGAGAGGAGTATGCATGTATCAGAATTCGAAACGCTAGACGAAGAAAAGTCCATGCCCTAAAATACATTCATCTGTCTTAGAGAATCGGGTGGTATAGTTATGTGAACATGCCAAAGTGAAAGATGACATAACTCTATTAATCAACACATCGACAGCTTCTGGAAGACAGCCATGTGGAAAAAAAGCAAAGCTAGGGCCCCCAGAGTGAAAAGTAGCAGTTACAAAGAAGGAAGCATTAGGATTTATAAAATACCCGTCAATAATATCCTTGAGTAACGCTTTACTCCTCTTTTGTTTTGTCCTTCAGAATTCTTGAAATCCTCATATTGGCATAGAATCTTTATTGAAATATTCTGCGCCTATCCTGTTGTAGGCTGCATAGGCACACAAAAAAATTATTATTGGCATGTATCGTACAAGTTGACATCTAGTAATTTGATGTTTAAGAATGTGATCAATTACTGCATACTAGACATTTATGTGCATATGTGCTACAAGCAGGCACACAAAACGTCTTGCAGTTATGGTGAAAATGTTGCACATATTGTGATGTTGCTGAGCGAAAAAAACAGCATGGAAAGAAAACGTTCTGGGCAGTACAGACGCTCACTTACAACCGAAGTGTATTGAAAAGTGTCCGAGGAAGTGGAGTGGGTGAGCGTGCGATGTCATAAACAACGCTCACAACTTAAATAAAAGAGTTTCTGAGATACTTGTGCCTAGAGAAATAGCAGAGTTCTCCATCTGACTAATGGTTCCTTCGCACACTTCTTATAGTCCTGTCCACAACGTTTTCTTCCCATTTTGTTTTTGTTCGTTCACGACTTCGCAGTAATTCATCAATAGTGAAGTCAAGGCTTCTGAACAAAACAGCAGTGTGTTCATTACATCCTAGAAAGAAAAAGAATAAGGTACTATAACATAAATACACTATTTGACGTAACATTGCATTTATTTGTCTTAGCTGCTATATACTAAGTATAGTTGTTTAACAGAAATGAACTACAAAACCCACTGGTTGATATTTATGCGACAGCGTTGGTGCTTGCCCAGCGTCCTCACTGTTGCTTGCCGTTTTAGAAATAGGCTGCGCATTGATTACTTTCTGATGTTTGCTGCAGGACAGTTGAAAGCTGCGATAAAATGGTGGCATTACAAATGCAAGGTCTGTGATTAGTTTGGGGGCCAGTTAGTTTTGTGTTGCGCCACACGAATTTCTTGGGAGTGCTTTATTAGAAAGAGTAACGATGGCTTGACACTGAAGTGCAGCTATCTGCAAATTAATGTGCCTCTTCTATGTCAATTCGTGAAGTGTGCTCAATAATTAAATAGAGACAAATTGAATAGAGATGGTAAAGATGTAGGGAGACCAGAATGGTGGGAAAACTGTGGCTGAGGTTATATCAACAGCTCCACAGCCAATTTGAACTCTGCCATGTACTGAATGGCTGTTTCTGTATAAAAGCATCGTTTATGAGTAATAAGAAGTGTTATTATTTCGGGAGCCTTTCAGGATAGAAAGCTGTACTGAGTTGCATTCGTAATAGTTTGAACACTGTTGCACACAGTTACATAGACACATATTGTTGTTTCTTATTTTTTGTTTTCGAAGGTTGTAACTGAAAACATCAGTTGGCACAGGTAGTTAAATATGGATGGCTCTTGTGTGCAAAAAAAAGAAAGAAACATTAATCATGTAACAACAGTTTCAGCATTAATTTCTTTAAAAAAAAAGAATGTATGCCCAATGGTTTTTTTTTTTCCTAATTGCTGCCGCACGCTGCCCTTTGAGTACGGCCTGGTCTACTCTAAGCGATCCAAATGTTTAGAGCTTGTTTTCCAAAGTGGGCTGTTGTAATAAAGCTGTAAGCCCAAAGATGTCAAAGTCCCTTGCTTCTCACATAGCCTGGCTTTCAGGGAATGATTGACAGAACAGCTGGGAATGCCTTGTATGCGGTTGCTGCTAGAACTAGCAAAAAAAAAAAAAATGGAATGTTTAGTAGGGTTAGGGGCTGCAAGTGTGTCGTTGGAGTTCTGCTAATGCTGTTTACGTGAATTATGGAAATGCGACAGATTTATTTGGTAAGCTTAAATAATGTATCTTTGTTTATGTATTTCAAGCCGGCTTTAAACCACAGATTAGCAATAAGTAGGATCTCGAAGGTTATAATGTGAATATATTTGACCTGTGAACAGTAGTGTGTAAGCTGAACTTATTTTACTCTTAAGGTGTTGCACACTTTCAAAACTTTGATTACATCTGACAGTTATTTGTTCAACATCAGATAACTAGATGCTTCTCGATTTGGTAGCGTTCATTGTGTGTATATGTCTGTGGAAAAGAAAAAAAAAGAAGCAAACATTCGAAAGAGACATCACATTTATGTGGCCACCATCATATTGTGTGTCATTATTACTCTTTTTTTATGCATCATCGACACTAGTGGCAGTTGTATACCTGTTATGTATCATAGAAGCTGTATACCTGTTATTTCATAGAAGTGATTGGTTGAATCTAGCCTGGTGCAGATTTTGTTAAGTATCTTTTCAATAACTTTGTATAAATATTAATTTTTCATTGAAAGAGCAAAAATGAAGGTCAAGGTTTCGTTTTTAATCTTTCTGCCAAAGCCTCTGCTCATGTCGGTGGCATGTCATAGGCGTTTAATGTTTTTTTGTGTGTGTTTTGGCCTCATTGGCTCAATGGATATTTCTGTAATTTTGGCAAGCTGTGTCTGGTTTCCTTGGAGGTCAATGTACTACATTTTTACCGATCAAAAACTGATGTTGCCTCTCTGGTACAGTTACAAAGGTTCTCCCGTAGTTAGAAAGGTTCTCCTTGGGGGAAGGGACGGGGGGGTACGACTGTTATGCATGTGTGTTTGTGTGGTTCTCTGTACTTGATTAAGGACTTGGCTTTCTGGAAGTGGCAGAGAACAAGGATGGATGAGGGCTTTAGTTCCACGAGATTTGCAGCACCATGTTCCGATCGGGGCGTAGATTTTTGAGATTGCCTGCTCAAAGCTAGTTCAGTCATTATCAGCTTTGAGGGACAGTTTTTTTTATTTAAGAAAGTAAGCTACGTGCAACCTAACATGCCATCTCACAAAAAAATATACTGTTTCTGGGAAAGTGGACCAAATCATTAAGAATAGCTTGACAGTTGTAATTACAGTAGACTCGTGATAATTCAAACTCTGATAATTTATACTTTTGGTTAATTCAAACAAAGTTCAATTCTTTGATTGGCCCTCTATTCTTCCAATGCACTTAAAAACAATTCAACTTCCATCATTTGGTCAATTCATACTTTTTAAAGTTCCATACTGGAAAATATCTGCTGCTTTCCTACTATTATTTCAAAATTTGTGTGCTTATATAACCCTAACAGTCTAAAAATGAAAAATAAACACCTCACGCCTTCAAGGAAATAGGCTTTGCTAGTAAGCAGATGTTATAAATGAAGCACACACATGGTAAACCGTGATGCTTCCAAACTAGTATAGAGAGCGTTGTGCTGAAGGCACTTGTAGCAAAGAAGCAGTTGGCAATTCACGATTTTTTTAAAAGGTCTGATCAGTAATAAATGGCCAATAAACTTGTGGACCTCACACCTCTGCTTTCTGATCATTGGGTGCAGTAAGGGTTTAAAAACACCTAAAAAAACTTAAATGGATAAAATCAATGTGTCACCTTGTCCAGAGCCTTATATTTGAGAGCTTCTGATTCTTCAAACTTCTTGATAATTCAAACGAAATTCAGAGGTCCCTCCGAGTTTGAATGAATGAGAGTCGACTGTGCTGTATGGGAATAGTGTTTCATGATGTCACCCGAGTAATTTGAAAAAAGTAATTACTCTAATGTCAGCTATTTATAATCCAACTTTTGTGACCTTACAAGCAGCCCTCTGACACTTTTTATTGAGGTTTATATTATATTGTTTTTTTTTTACTTAGCATTTCTTTGCAGGCTCAAAATTTTATTGAACAGCACTGAGGGGGGGAAGGGCCAGGCCAACTTTGTTCTTGTTACCATCTCACCTTCTGATTTTTCCTCACGTGTTAGGGATAGTTTTTAACACTTGCCTTATTCCCCTATTGTCAATTACATAAAATGGAATCTGCCCTACATTCAGGTCACCATTGAGCATGTGCCTTACGCTTTAGATAGCTTCAGTCTCGCTAACAGGACTGTCAAGAGTTCAGGCACGTTTCATTTGCAGGTGCATTGCTTCCACCAGTTTTGACAGGTACGACATGACATGTAGGGCCAGCTAGTTTATTTTTTTTTTTCTTCTCTTCTGGGAGGAATGCCTGGACTAACATTATAAAGCTTAAGCTAGATTGATCTTCTTTCCCTTCTCTTCCTTTTTCTCTTGTGCACATGCAAGTCTTTTGTGATTGCTGTGATTGCTCTGTGAGGTCAAAATTTGTCACGATTGCATAGCTTGCAATTGCTATTTTGATTCTGTTTGCTGTCTCAAATTAGCAGACAGTCCTCTAGTAAGCTGAAGCCAGTGCAGCAAGCGCCTCAAGCTGAATTGTTTTACAGAAGCTCCAACATATTATGGTTATATTTGTGTTAAGAGTGGCCGAGGGACCTAAGTGATAAGCACATGTACCATACGGTACATTGTTACATGGAACATGCTGCAAGTATGTCATCATCCATTTTCACTGGGATATGGTATAGGCTTATCTGTACCAGCTTCTATAAATGTATGTCTGGTTCATTATATTGGCCACTTTCGTACCGGTTCATTTGTTTACTCTCAGAACTGTACAGGCATTAAGAAGAAAGTAGGCCCCGCCGCGGTGGTCTAGTGGCTAAGGTACTCGGCTGCTGACCCGCAGGTCGCAGGCTCAAATCCCGGCTGCGGCGGCTGCATTTCGATGTAGGCGGAAATGTCGTAGGCCCGTGTACTCAGATTCGGGTGCACGTTAAAGAACCCCAGGTGGTCAAAATTTCCGGAGCCCTCCACTACGGCGTCTCTCATAATCATATGTTGGTTTTGGGACGTTGAACCCCACAAATGAATCAAGAAGAAAGTAGTGGAAATAAAGTCTCTGTGAACAAGATTATTTGTGTGAGTGTTAACCGCCATTAGTTACGGCTTTGGCAACAAATTAAATTGCAGAAGTCGTATTGTACGTGGAGTAGCCGCAGGTAACTGGCTAAGAAATGCCTGTATCACTTCTCAAGGCGTCAAGGCTGGCATGGTCAGTGCCCTCATTGTGGAATAAAAACAAAGGCTATCAAACTGCTCGATTTTTTCTTCTTAATGCTGTATGGAGCAAACTGTCAAAGAAGCCAGGAAATTCATGGGAAAATTCAGCATATATGCCTCATGTTTGTATGCCCAGCACTCGTGCTTGTCATTCTTTCAATTCCTCAGTCCACTTTCGCCACATTTCTGTGCTTTCCACTGTTCATCTTCACCATAAGTGTAAACCCACTTGCCTACACTGCTGTTATTATTTAGGAAAAATGAGTTTTTCTTTAACGGAAATGTGAAGATAACAAGGAAGAAACGGAGGGGAAATAGAGGCTTGCCTTGTCCCTTTTATTCTCTTTGCGCCTTTTTTTTTGCTTATCTTTCACAATAAAGGTGAAAACGTTTCTAGTGACCAGTAAGTGTTGGCTCGAGTGTGAATTGCACCGTCTGTCTGTTCTTCTGCCAGGAGGGGGTGGGGCCTGCAATAGTGGCCAGTGCCTCGCTGCTGGCCAATGGGGGTGCAGCTGCGGCAGAAGCTGGCGGCGGCAGTGCGGCTGCAACTAGCGCAGACGAAGTGGACACGCTACTGGCCCACACACCTGACCTCCACCGGACCAGGGCAGCCTTGGAGCACATCAGCCACAAGATTGCACGGACTAGGGAGCTTATCAAGGCCGAGCAGACGACCCGCGACGGTGAGAAACCTGGTCTCTTAGCAGTTTGGGCGGTTCCGATTGTACTTCGTTACAAACTAAGAAAAAAAAAAAAGCCAACTTCACCTGCAGAACCGCACCATTCACCCCTGAAAGACAGTTGTGCTAGCTGGTTTCCACTGGAGCTGTAAGTACTTTTTCTCAGCTAATGTAAATACTACTTAACGAGAGTTAAAAGTTCATTGTTACTACCTAAAACATTACGTTTGACTGAGCATCAATGTCAGAATCCCTGAGGAAACTTAACAGAATGTTCAAGTTTCTGATCAAAACCGGCAACGCCGACATGGGTCCGTATGGAAAAATTGGCTATCTGGAACAGTTGAAGAGTTCTTGCAATCAGGAAACTATGTAAAGGTGTGGTACTAATGCAAATGCCGTGTGGGAGAGACAGTGATGGCTGTGGGTGGAGCTGGCATTTTTCTTATGTTGTTACTGAGTACAGTATGTGACTATGACATGTAGAACTTGGGAAGCAGGAATGACTGCATACGAATAACATTGCTCAGAAGACGAGCACTAACCGATCACAAAAAACAAATAGACCCATCCCAAATGCTTTGCAGCGTTTCCGATTTCTCTTGCCCCTTGTGAACGCTTGTGTTGTGGGCAACCTTTTTGTGTCTGTTTGGCTCCCTGCACTCAAAGTGATTTTCGAAGAATGTAATACCAACTATAACCCACCCGTGCTGCTCTTGCCTGTGACCAGCCACTCGGCGCTGTGGCTTGGTGGTGCATGTTGTATTTCAAAGAGCACGACATGATCGAGCAGGCGTGAATCAGTGCAAGTTGCGTGGCGATGGATTTGCTTGAGGCTAACCCTGCAAGTGATAGTTGGGAAAATACGTGACGCTCGTCGACTCTGAAAAGCAAAAAGAGTCCACTCTTGTTAGATCGTTTGCTCTCTGACACGAGACAGATAAGGCAGTGCAGCTAGAGTGCCAACAAGTGCAAGTTTGTCAGGGTGTGTCGCATTGTGACAGTCATGGTCGCAAGAGTGAAGCCACAGAGTCCAAGCTCAGTGAGGATTTGCATAAGTTGTGATCATGATAGTGCTTCGAGGGTGTAATAAATGTCGCATGCGGTGCCGAAATGTGCTTGCCTTATGTAGCACATGGACAAGCCTCGTGTAGGTTTGGGTTTAGTAGATTGTGGATTACAACTTATGCACTCCAGAGTGGTGCCCGTGTCGCTACAGAATAGAGAGGCCCGCCACTAGAGCTCACGGGCTATGCCATTTTGCTGCTGAGTGCGAGGTTCCAGGTTCAGCTGGTCTCGGCGTGTAAAGCTTCAGAGTTATTAGGTAACTGTTTATCGATTGGTTTATTGTGCGATTGTTACGTAAGAACTATTTGCCTGTTTGTGCAGACAATGTGAACGAGTACCTGAAGCTGGCGGCCAATGCGGACCGTCAGCAGATGCAGCGCATCAAGAGTGTCTTTGAGAAGAAGAACCAGAAATGTGCCCAGTCCATCTCCCAGCTACAACGTAAGCTGGAGGGATACATCAGACGCAAGCGTGAGCTGGAGACCCACGGTGCCACAGCGTCTTCCTCCTGGCAGCCGCGGGACGTACTGCAGAATGTAGGGCAAGGCATCAGGTGAGATAAGTCGTACAAATTCATTGTTAGCAGCCCTAGTAATATTCAGTGGCAAACCTTCAGCCTTTTTTCTGGGCTCACAGGCCTTGCTGAAAGGTAGCTACACTCAAACCTCATTATCACTGAGTTGCATCTTGCGCGAAAATAAGGTCGTCATATCCAAAAATTTAATTAAAGGTTTGTTGCTAACACTATATCAATTGCAAGACTATATTTCATTTAGTTCATTGTAACCAATATTTCGTTACATCCAGTCTCGTTATATTGACGTTTGAGTGTTACTGAGCAAATTGTCATGAATGCTCACGCATAAACAGTTTGTATTTCTTCAGTGCTTCAGTTGTCTTCCTTTCTTTGCACTTTGTGCGAGTTATCACTGTTAGTCACACCTACTGGGGTCGTAACTTGCGTGTAAAGCGCAAAATGCAGTGAAGTGTGGTGGCTGGCCGGTTCATTCTGTGAAGGGATAGAGCACTGTGCTGCAAGCAATACTTTCAGCAAGATGGGAAAAAACTATAGCTCTATAGTATCTAATGTCTAAAACTATAGTATCTATAGTTTCTATATCTAAACTATAGTATCTAATGTCTAGTTTATGTTCGCGTTGAAACTATTGCTCGCAATGCAGCATCGTGCAATGTAAATATGCAGTGAAGTCGCTATGATGTCATCACCATCAGCCTAATTTGTGCCCAATGCATTTGGAGGAGGAAAAAAGAAAAGAAGGGAGTAGGCATCTTTCACAACTTTTTTACCTCCAGTGTCTGTTACAAACAACAAAAGGGAGAAATAGATAGGGTGGCCAGCCATGCGTGTGAATAGCGCCTGTTACGGTACACCTAATTGTCTCTTATAGGGAGGCTCAACAGCAGGTAATCACATCACCACCTTATTTAAAAATAAATATCACTGCACTTTCTCACTTAGCAATCTTTTAAACTATGCTACCAAGGTCATATACTATAATGAGTCGATGAATATTTTCTTTGAGATTATAAATATTATTTAGTAGCTGCTGATATATAAAGTGTACCAACATTTTTTTTCTCTCATCATGTCATGCGGTGGCTCTACTTGTATATTGAGGGACAGATGAAGATGATGAAGTCTTCATCACGCTCACAACATGTCTTCAACTTGTCGGTGCCTTGACTGACAGTGCATTGTTTAGCTTCATTTTTTTTTGTGTCTTGCATGACCTGCCAGTGGAGTGGTTGGCAACATCAAGGGTGGACTGTCAGGCCTGGCATCTGTGGCACACTCTTCAACCGAGTAAGGGCTGCTCTGTCACTTTCAACAACCATTTCATTGGCTTAATGAACCAAAACTTAGCTCCACAAAAATCCACTTTGTAGAAGTGGATCGATGATTGGTAAAGCTGGCATGCACATAAACATTGTAGCATATATGCTGTGAAATTTATTGTCGTCTGCCTTCCACTTCGCTAAGTATGTTTCAATTTTTCCTTTTGCTAATTTGCTTTCATTCATTCACTTGTGGTCTGTTTATTACGGTTACTTGGACATCGTGATGAATAGCTTTTTATTTAAAAAAATACTTGTGGGTCATTTTATAGTATTGTAAAGATTTGCATGCGGTGTGTCATCGGTGCGTGTTGAATTTAAGGTGCGCATATGTGTTGCAGTGACTTAGTGGCTATGGCATTAGCTGTCGGGCACGAGGCCGAATGTTGTGTTTCAGCACTTTGCGGACACATTTCAAGGAGGTGAATGGAGAAATACTTACAAGAAATTGTTTGCTCATTAAAAAGAAAGCAACCTCATTAAATCTGTACGAATCTGGAGCACCCTAATGCACTGTCTCTCATAACTACACTGCTAGTTTGAGACATGAAACCCTATAACTGGCCTAGGGATTGTCTTTTCAATAAAATTATTTAGTTTTTTTATTTCACAAGGGCTTGGAAGTTATTGGTTTTTCGAGATGACACGTATGTACTATCATGAGCAATATGAGCTCCAACACTCGAACGCATGTCAAATAGCCTCAGACCCTACATTGGCTGATTTGTAGCGGCTGCTGTCGGAAACAAAGTGGAAAGGGCAGCACGCTTCTGCTAGCTGTTGACACTCTCTCCTCGATATCTCTGCTGCAAAATGCAGCTTATAGCATATCAGCTGTTAGTGGCTGCTGTTGGTCATTTGAATTCACATCAACGCGCACAGCTACAACCAGTTGACCTAGCAAGCTATGAAGCTAGAAAAACATCGGCTGTGACATAGCCGGCCGCGATGCACAGGCCGTGCATTTATTATATCTAGATGGTGTTGAGCATTTTGATACATATCCTTGTTTTCGGTGAAGTTTTTTATTTTCGTGTGATCATTGCTATCGGTCGAAGGCATGCGATAAACTGCCGTTTCACAGCAACGATCATGCGGGTGTGGTGATGCGGCTGTGGTGATGTGGGTGTGGTGATGTGGGTGTGGTGATGCAGGAGTTACAATAGTCAGCGGAAGAGCGCCCTCCTTTCCCCTCCAGTTTCGGCAGCGCCATCCTTGTATCACGTTATCTGTATTTCGAGGCTCTTGGCTACGCACTCGTGCGTTCGAACTCGTATTGCTCACGTTAGTACAATACTCACATACTGAAACAGAACAACTTTTGGGCTAAGTACTGCACATACTTTTAATTCAATTTATGGGGACTATTTATGGGACCAAAAAGTGACAAAAAATTCATTTTTTAGAATTGACATACTTGGTTTCTGCAAGTAATTTTTTTTCTATCTCTCCGCAAATGTTCACACAACAGGAAGTGGTAATTTTTTTGTAATGGCATTCTGACTGTCCAGATTCTTGGTGCTACCAAATGCAGAACCTGCAAAAAAACAAGGAGCCTACTTTTTATAATTTGCCTTTTTATAATTTGCCAGCACCTGTTTTCGAAGCTCTGGTACCAATTTATGAGCGCCTGTATGAGCATTGCAAAACATGCACACAGTGATTGGTGTTTTATGAAGAAACAGTGCATTATTAGTTTTTTTTCATTTTTTTTTCAAGAAAAGTGAATGTATGACTGTTTAATTTTGAGGCATCAATATCTCTGCAGCTAGGGCAGATACAACAATAATTTTTTTGGAAATAGAAACCTGTTCATGTATCAAATGAAAGTATGGGAACAGAATTTATAGCACTAGCCTTTTTATTAATTACACATCATAATTTTAACGTAATTAGAACTGCTTCTGAAAACTGTTCAATTTGCTGTAAGTGAATTTTACTGTAAAATAACTAACGAAGGCCAAAAAAAAAAACTTGCGTACTTTGAATCTCTAGTCACTAGTCTATGCTGCTGTATCACTTTTAATTAGGCACTTTTTTGTATTGTGGCCTTAAACAATAGGTGGTGAATTTGAGTTATCTCAGATAAGCTAAGTTACAGGAAAAGGAATTACATATTTGAAGTCGGCAAAAAAAAAAAAAAACTTCATAACCCTGTGTACTTTGATAAAAAGCACTGAAGAAATAAAGAAACAAATGTCTAAGATTGGTCTGCCCCCTTATTTTCATCTCAAAGATGAGATGAAAAATTTCATTTGCACATTCAAGTTGTACTGGGGTCATTTTGACTCTAAGGCGTAGGTTAGAGCCAGCGCTATTGTTAAGAGACCAGATTTGTAATGACATAACGTTGTTATCCCAAGCAATTTCGTTTACCAGTTGCTTTACAAAAAAAAAAAGTTTGATGTCACGCTTCAGTTCGTGAGTACAGTACTTTCATGGTGGGCTGTTGTTCTATCTTAACTGTGCAGTGAGCAGTGCACGTTGTAATCACTGTTGTCTTGGCAGTCTCCTTACTTTAGTTTTATTCAGCTATGGTGATAAGGCATTTCAGTGAGACACTTAATCAGTTCAGACTGATTGTTCTTTGAGAAACCTGTTGCCATTCACAGGGGTGCAAATAGCTGCGCCAATTGCACCAATTTGATACAATTCATAATTTTGTGCCGAGCTGTGCCAAAACCATAAAATTTACATGAAATTATTTATTTTTAAAAAACTGTGGATAAAAATTCCAAGCAGGGTGAGCAAATTACTTAACAGAAAACAAGGTTGCAAAGTGTTTTTTACAAAAATGTTTTTGGTTGTGAGACAAAAAAAAAACAACAACTTGGACATGATACAATTCTAAGGAAGTAATTGCACCACGCTGCGCCAAAATGCCAACCAGCAAAACGTTTCAGTTTTGCTAATTTCAGAGAGAAATGGACGCTATGTTGGCCACCTTTTAGTTCGCATTATCAATCAATCCAGGCGCGCACACACTAACCCTAAATAACAGTGTAAGATATGGTATACTTATAGGCCAAGACACTCCTGAAACGCGATTGACCAGATAAAGTAACAATGCCGCGCGTCCATCGGTCTGCTGACCACAGGGGATATCTATCCGCAAGACGGCACAACTTCAAGACAGAAATGTGCTGTCTTAGTTGGCAACACGTCGTGGGAAATAGGAGTTTCCTAGCCGGCAAATGCGGCTATGGCATGTTAGGAATTAAAGCTGGAAGTGGATGCCGCTGTTACTGCGCGTGAAAAAACACTGCATGCTGCGAACGCCAGCGTAGCGGGCGACCATGTATAGTTGCAATAGCAAGAGCACATGCGATAGATATCCAGTGCCGTCGCTTGGCCAACGGACGCATGCTGTCGTTACTTTATCTAGTCAAACACGCCTTGCAGGCGAGCTGAGTTATGCCCTAAACCTAACCCTATTGCGAAAAAATAAAAAAAAATAAAGGAGGGGGTTGGAGAAAATTTCTTGGCGTTGTTCTAACACGTGCAGAACACAACCTTAGCTACCTTTACCGCAATACATCGGTGGCCTGTGGAAAAGCATTTTAACTCTTTCGTTACAGCGCAAAAATGGCTATTTTTCATATGTCTCGGGAATATTGTTTTTGCCAGTTTCAAAAGTACTCCAGGACGCATTGCAGCATACCAAATTTTGCAATATGTGATGCTCTTTCCAAAAAAATATATCTTGTAGAGCACCGAAAATATTTCAGAATGAATAAAAATGCTAGAAGTGTGTAATTTTTTGTTGCGAGCTCGTAAACAGTGAAAAGAAAAAAACCAGTATAAATACAAAAATGTTCTAAACAAAGAAAATTCAGAATATACATTTTGAAAATAAATAACCCAGGAACCGTAAAAACAATAATAAATGTTGTAGAAAATGTTTCTATTCACAATACCAAAGAAAATGGGAACCGAGGTGCTGCTTCATTGCTCGTTCCATGCTGTGAAGCATTGCTTGGTTTTTATTGAGACACAAGCGAACTCGTACACTTTTCTCACTAAATTATTGTTTTTTTTTTTGCGATAAAAGCCTCCAGGTGTTCAAATATAGATGCATACCCGTGATCTGAATAATGACTCTATACACCAGATATCCAATGAACTTCGCTGTTTTATCTAATGTAACCTCTTTCCATGAGCCACCTCACTCAGCATAGGTTGGTGTTTTTATATATGCATGCAAGCATATTTCTTAGCATTGTACGCATCGTAATAAAAAAAAGAACAATATAGCGTGAAGTTCTAAAACGTTTCGCGCTGCTCTATAGCCAGGGCCAGGACGTGCTACGGTGGCCTTTTTGTCGTTAGGAAAAGCTCTGCATCCGGCGCCAGCACACGGCGCCTCAGTGAAGTATTGACCGCGCACGTAGCCAGAGTAGCTTTAGGATTGTGCACAAAGGTGAGAAGCTATGTACTTGCGGCAGAGAAGACAATTCAAGGCCGTAAATAAACAAACCCACGAATGGCTGTGGATGTCTCAGGCTGGCGCAAAACATCGTCGCCACAAAACTTGAAGCTTGAGCTCTGTTATTCGTGGACTCTAATCTTGTCCTCACTCAATTCAGGTGCGGTTGCAAGACATTTTCGAGCGGTGCGCGTGTTTTGCAGCCCTGTTGTGTGCACATGTGCGCGTGAGGATACTTTGTAGGAGCGACTAGTGACACTAGATGTAACCCTGTGTCTGATATAACAATTCAAGCAAAACCAAAGCTGCTGTAAACTGGCTGAGAAGGCTACCTCAATATTTAAAACATGCGACGAACCTTGGGAAATATTTTTTTGCCTGACTTCCAGCAACAGCTCTTTATTGAAAAGTTGGCGTAAATTTCCGTTAATTATTACTGCTCAACACTCAAATTGTGAAGCTGACTCTTTAATTCGATATTTGGCTTGCAAAGGTTCATTTGATTACAGACCTTCGATGCTACTGTAGCGTAATCTCGAGGGGCACGCACTTTTGTCAAGTTCGCCAGCCTAATGCATTTTTCCAACAACACACGCACATTGGTTCGTGCAAACGTCTTTCAAATATCACTATGTTGTTAAAATGGCCAAATTAAAATTTATTTTGAAAGCTGTGTGGCTGGACTAACTACTAGAAAGCGCTGGGTCCACAAGAAACAAATTTAACATGTCAAAATCGGGAAACGAAAGCGTCGATCACTAGCGATCTATTTGAATAGGCAGGGTAACGAAAAAGTTAACATTTGAAAGGGGCTGTTAGTATAGTAAATAGACGCAGCACAGTGTGTTCATTTACTAATGCACGTATGCGCCTCATAGTTGTGAGTACTAGGATGATTGCTTATGACTAATAAAAGTTATTGGCAATGATTTGGAGCACTGCATGGTATTTTTGCAGCCCTAAAAAAGTCATACAAAACAGTGTGCCAGTTTTTTTTTTTTTTTTTTGTCGCCACCTGTATTCCTCACTTTTACGAATCCCCCAAATCTCAAGGTCGTCAGCTTGGCAGATGAACATTTCTATCCTCAGAGCCAGTCGAAGGATCTGACAGGCATGGTAAATGCCGATGTGGACTTTATCATTATTTGCTGAGCGGGGTGGTTCAAAATATTACCTTTATTGAAATATCAGTGCCTATTCATTCTGCATGATTTATGAGATGCAGAAAGGTTTGTACATATTTTTCGCTGTGTGCTCACCTCATTTTCGTACTGCTCCAAATTTGATCTTTCATGATGAGAAATGAATGTTTTTGACTGTAATCTTCTCCAAATTTGTATTGTAGTGCTCCAAAAGTAACATTTTACTGCTCCAAGAATTGCTCCTAAATTCTACTTTCACTGTTGACCCCTGCATTCAGTACATGATCAAAGGTTAATTTTTAAAGGAGGAAAGGAAGATCAAAATTTAATTTTTCTTTTTCTCTCTCTCTCTCAATATTGAGCTTTGCACCCAAACCCTTAGTGTCTTAATGTTGGCGTGACGTCATCGATGTGAGCATTTTATTTGGTATGTTGGCCGCATAGGCTCAATAAAACTTGTTGAAATTTGCCATGTGCAATCTCCGGCATCTTTGAACGCAAAGCAAGTCATTTTTACTTTTGAAATATTTGTAAGCCTTCCCTTGCGACTGCTGTCAGAATCTGGGACATCACATGCCACAACTACAGTTGGTGTGGGAACTTCCAGGTGTAGTGTCTCAATTTAATTTTGCATCTTTTCCTTCTTGCCACACGTTTTTTTTTTTTTTTGTAAGTGGAACATTTTTGGTGTTGTGGAAGGTTAGCTTAATTTATTGCCTCAACTGGATTTGTCATTCCCTTCAGTGTTCCTTTAATGTCCCCCATTTGTCATGGCTGATGCCCTGTGGTGGTTGCCACTCGTTCGCTGCAGCAACAAGTATGGGTCGGACGAGGACAGCTCGAGCCTGACGTCAGAGTCGAGCCAAATGACGTCCCACCACCAGGGCGTCGTCGGTGGCGGGTTGGGGCCGGGAGCGGCCACGGCCAGCCCTCGGCACCCTCCACTGGCCCCTCCCCAGGACCAGCCTTCTCTGCTTGTGGGCATGGCCAGCCCGTCCGTGGCTCCGCCCCCTCTCGCCTCCACTCTTGGTCAGTCCTTGGTACCCGAGGCTGAGCTCGAGCCCTTGCTTGCTGAGCTCGCCGAGCGGCGAGAGGAGTGCCAGCGCCTGGCAGAGGAAATTGAAGCCCTCAAGGTGTGTTTGCTGTAGCCAGTAGGGTGTACGTTCTCTGTAGATGGATGCAGTTTAAGAAGGCAGGAGAGGCCTTGTGTAAGTGATCGAAGTGCAAAAGCCAATTGCTTCCACGACTAAAAAAATAGTCCTGCTCCTGAGCCAGGTGGACAGTCCCTGGCCGTGCGGGCCATGACGTCACTCTACATTGCACGTGCCTTGGAGCAGGGGCTCATATTCCCCTTTAGGAAGGAAATGCTGGGGCCTTCTGAAGTTGCACCCATGTATAAGTGGTCCTTGATCATGAACACTGGCATCCTTGGATTTGCACGTTTTCCACCACTGTCCCACGTGCAAATGTCTTAATCGAGTCTGCTTGCTAATTTCATTTTGATCTTTTTCTGCTTCTGGAGCTTTTCGAACCCATTCTATCTCCCTGTTCAAAGCGTATTCGGAGCAAAACGACAGCGGTAATGTGACCACACTGGCAAAAATGTCAGCTTATAGTAAATAGCTTCCGTGTTTCTGTTTCATGGATGTGAAGTTTCGTTACGTAGGTCTGATGGTATCCAAATAAACACAGTCACACACACATACTCAGGATGTTCGTCAACCTAATAAGTGCTCTATTCACACTCAGAGGGCCTCATTTTGCAAAATATTACTGTATGTTGTTATTTAAAACAAATTGGTGTGAAGTTTTTATTTTTCTTCTCAGTCGCATTTCCCCCCCCCAAACTTATCGGCTGCCAAGTATGGGGGCATTGATCTTGTACAAGTTTGTACAATGTCTGCAGTTAAACTTTGACGTAACATTGTCTGTAAATTTGTTAATGTGGTACATTATGTTGAAACATCATTAAATTGACATTTGATCTATTATGCATAGTGGCTGAAAGATTGATCTTTCCACAAAAAGTGCCGCAAGATGCTTTATATACTATGGCACTCTGAAAAAGGCGTCTCTAACAATGCTAGAAATCAATTTTGTTGAACCTGATGTGTGAAGACATAGGTTGGCAAAAAAAAAAAAGAGGGGGGGGTGGGAGAACTCGCTCTGGTTCACTTAAGAAATACCTTGTTAATTGGAAGTCACTGGGGCTGCGAGATATCTTCGAATTAAGTGGGTTTTTGAATTAACAGAACATACAAAAAGTGGGATGGAAGGAACTTAGAATTATTTGAAGTAATCAGGGCTGATCGTTTGCTGTACCGGCTAGTTTGCGACTCCAAGGGTTATGCTTTCCAGAAATACCTGTTCTTAATTTTGCCGCAAACACAGAGAAACAGGGGGCCTCGTGCTGCTTCCCATGGGTGGAAGTGGAGAATTAAAAAAAAAAAAAAACGCAGTCATGATCAATTGAAATGCGTGCCTGCGCAAAACAGGACATTTTCACTGCAACATAATTTCTGCACTACCGCAGAAAAAAAAAAGGGGGTAAATCATGACACACTAATATTGCAAAAAACATGTAATATGCTTCCCGCGTGTCACCGCTGTGCTGCAGTAAAGTACATTGTGTTTTCTGCAGGCACACATTTTATTTAATAACGAGACCTTTTCTTCTTTTTCTTTTTTTTCTTGCTGGAAGTAGTGATGCTGGGGTGCTTCAGCTGCCCCTCATTAGTATCGCTAGATAGCATTGCCTTGTGGCTCTTAGGGACCATTGTTTCTGCGGATTTGCGGCCAAATAGGGATCGGGAATCGGCACATGCCACCCAAAGTTTTCGAATTAACCGGACTGGTGCTGTCTGCAGCTTCAAGTTATTTGCCCCGACTCGCATTGCAAAATACAGTACCACGGAAATATTTTGAATTGAGTAAGATTTTGAAATAACTGAGTTCAAATTAATGAGGTTTGACTGTGTATCTTTCGTTTTGGATTCACTCGGACTCAGACTCGCCAAAATACTGTACCCTTGGGCCAACTTGACTTGGACTGATGCTCATAAAACAGTTGCACTAACACGCTAACACCAGCAGCCGTCCGCTGTCAAAGTGTATCTGACAACGCCGAGGTGGAGGTGTGGTATGTCACCTTATCATCAACCAGTTGCGGCTGGCTAATATGGGAACAAACATCCACTATGACCACTGGCCAACTGCAAAAAGAACCAATAGCATTGGCATTGAAGAAGGCATCATTTTACGGCTGCATCCAGCAGCTGTTTGTAAGAAACTATGAACTGTGCGACTGAGTTTCAGTTTGGTTTGCCTATGGCTCAAAAACAAGCCAGTGGGAAAACAGGGCAGTCTCATCACCATCGCTATCCAGCAAAGGCAGCTCCCATGCTTAGTAAACAGCAATGGTTTCTGGGGGTGCCAGCGTGTGTTTTAAACTTCTTCCATGTATTTTTATGTTCCGATAATGCACCAAACTGTTCAAGATTGTGTTCACTGCACGAGATTATGATTCTGAGCCTGGAATTGCATCGGCAAATTTTGTTAAAACGGAATGGCAGAAAAAAAAAGCACTCGTTGTGGCGAGAATATTTATGCGTCGACTCCTATGGACTGCAGACGGGGAACCGAGAATTTTTCTTTGTATTAGAAATTTTATTGAAGTGGCGTTCCTTTTAGCTAGGTACGACTGTATAAAGCCTCCAGAAAACATGTTCCTCTGCTTCAATGTCCACTCTCTGTCGTATGGTGCACATTTGCTTTCATAAGAACCGTGGGCGAGTCAACCATGTGACAACTGGTGCTGGCTGAGGTTTCTATTTATTGCCTTGGTCGGTATTGCTTTGAAATAGCAGACACATGTGCTTAGTTATATTGAGATTAAAAATAATTGGTATTGTACGAACATGAATTAAAGAGACTTTGCAATGCTTCTTTACATTGAGAATTTTGTCATGCAGTTGAAATTCAATTTAACGAAGTGATACACTAAAATTACTTCATTAAATTGAAAATTTCAAAAAATTGAGGAAGGCTTTTTTTATCTTTAAAAGTATAAAACTTTAATGTTGTGATAACCAAATGCTATCATTGAACTGTTTTTGCTGGTAACCCTTGTGTGCACGTCTGAAAAGTTCGCGAGGGTGACCCACCATACACTCCAACCTCGATATAGTGAATATGAACATTACGAATGATTGGCTTTAACAAAGTAGATAAAGAATAGTCTTGTCACAGATACACTGTTATAATGTACATTCGTAACGAATTTTCAGATGTGATGAAATTATTGTTGTGTGAGATGCGACCTTGTTACAGTGAGGTTTGAGTGTGTATAGGGGCACCATGTCTGGGCAATGCAGGACAGGTAGACTAGTCCACGAAGCCACGATAGGCTACGGATATGCGATGATGTTGTGAACGAATGCAGCGATTGTCAGAGCAGGCAGCGATTGTCAGAGCAGGCCACACGAGAAAGGTACGAGGAGATGATGAGGGCTTTCTATTGCGTGAACTACGAAATAAAGAAAGCAACCGCCATCACCTCTAGCACCATCCGGCAAAGAGCGCTACCAATTGCCGAGTCTGTTGTTTTGTACGTGGGCATAGCAGGAAGCCTTATCAAATTAAAGCTACAACTAGGGTACCTAGATGTCATAACGCAGTAGCGCTTGAGCGCACGTTCAAAGAAACGCACATCTAAGTAAAAATTAAAAGCAAATCACCGCGTTCTCACTCGGTTATTTCAGGGAAAACTTTGTTAAATCTAGTTCAGTGGGCACATTAATTCATTTATGCATGGTTATGACGATGCTGAGCGCATGGCTATTTGACAGGGAATTTAGATTTCTTCGCTAGATTGTCAATTTTGTAAAATCTGGTTTTGTTAAATTAAGCTTCAACTGTTATGAAGCTTCAGCTGCTGACTCGAAGGTTGTGGGTTTTGTCCAGGCTGTGGTGGTGACATTGCGGTGAAGACCAAATGCTAGAAACCCGTGTGCTGCGTGATGTCAGTGTACGTTGAACAACACCAGAAAGTCAAAATTTCCGGAGTTGCTTGCTATTGCAGGTCTTGTAACCATATTGTGGTTTTGCCATCTGAAACCCCAGATAGTTAACTGTTTTAAGGTTGGTTCTATTGAGGTTTGACTAAGTGGCTTTGGCTTCTTGTTTGTGCCCTCACGGACTTGCGCATTCACTTTCTCATTGACGCTTTTTCCAAAGCGTGCTTTACTATTTCTCTCTCCCTCTCCTTGCCCCTTCTCTCTTTCTCTCTGCCGTGCAGGTGTTCATTTTCGGCTCTGCCTGCAAGCTGGAGACTTCGGTATCTCGTTGTGCTAACTCCTCTCTCTTTGACCTCTCCCCTTCTGTTGTCTTGTTTTCTTTCTTGCCTATTTCGTTCGTCCTTGTCGTCTTCCTGATTGTTGTATTTAGAACAACTGGCAGTTGCTTTTAGAACTGAGCATGTGGCCTTCGTTTTCAAGCTGTTTTATTTTTATAATGGTGTGTGAAAAGGGGGGGGGGGTGCACAGCATGCGTAGATAGAAAGCACGGTATGTGTTTTTGTCACACATAATGAAAGAATGACAACCAATCAAGGTTTCGACAGACACTTGTCTGCTCTGGATGAAACATGACAATGAGGCACACTTAAACATACGCTTCAACAGGCACTTATAGTTTTTGCCCTACTACGAACAAGGGTCTTGTACGGACACCGAAAAATCTTTCCTTTTGAAATCTTTATTTAATCGGTGTACAGTCGATCCAGGATATACCTTATTTACTCGCATAATCCTCGCACTTTTTTTATTGGCAGGAAAACCGATGCAAAGTTGGGGCGTGCGAGAATTACGTGGGGGAAACTTTCTGCGGAAACGTACAGAGTGAAAAAGAAAATGAAGTGGCTGCAAATAGGGATTCTCATGCCAGCAACTAACAGTAAGCTTTGAGAAGTACTAATGAAAACTTACCTCAACAATAAGAGCACAGGTTCAAAACAAGGCAATATTTATTTGAGACACAAAAGGCACAAGCAAATAGTTGACAATTAGAATACCGTACGCAAAGCTTGTGGGCGTTGCGGGCGTAGTGGTAGCGTTCGCTGCTCAAAAGGAGCACATGAAAGGTAAGCGTAGGACATCAGTATTGGTCTGATAGCCGTTTAACAGAATCGCCCGCAGTTCTCTTCTGACGAAATGAAGTTTACCATCAATCCCAGTCTTAGGCACACGGAAGGCCCAACGCATCTTGGTGGCTTTCAGCTGCCGTCACCAGCAGTGAACACAAAACTCGTCGCCTCCAAAGTGCCTACCCGCGGCTATGTTGCCGTTGTTTAGTGCATGGTCAATCACTTTCAACTTGAAAGAATCCGTGTAGCTTCCGTATCGCCCCATAACGTAACAACATTGCGGACACAATGTACAAAACGCGCTGCCACGCCCACTTGCCACTTTGGCTTGGCTTGGATTGGATTGAATCTCGGCGCAATAATAGTATGTCTATGCTTAGGAGCTGGCGCATACTATCATCATCAGTGGCTGAAACGAGCAGATGACATTATTGCGGCAATTTTCGGGGGTGCGATAACGACTCGAGGAAAAAAAAAAAAGAAATCGTATTTTTGTTGGGCCATGTCAGGAGTGCGAGAATTATGCGAGTGCGAGGATTATGCTAGTAAATATAGAGTTCGATATACTGAGAATTTGAAATACAGAATATGCATATTTAAGGTCTAAATTGAAGCATTTCAGGTCTCAAAAATCGTTAAAAGAGCTAACACAACGATTCGCTTACAGTATAATGAAAAACAAGGTGCGTAGTGCAAGTTACCTCACTTTATTTCACAAGAAAATAGTCCGTGTTTAAACTTGTCTTGCTTTTTACACACAGAGTTCATCCGAGTTCCCACTGTCGACATGTTGGCAATATCGATTTAATTGATGTAAATATGGCGTTCTAGCTGGCAGCCGCTGCTTTCAGCGGCTTTGGTACAAAAAGATAAGAAAAAGCGTAGCCTCCGAGACATGCGTTTTAAAACCAAAAATACTAAAGACACGTCCCAAGGTTGCACATCTGGAAGGCCATGCTTTCACGCTTGCATTCCATTGTGAGCTAACAAACAAGGAAGGGAATGCGAACATTGCACTGAGATTGCTGAGTCACTTCTCATTCTCATTTCGGTGCCCTCGGCAATCGGGTCTTTTGGAAAACACTATGTCCACGCGCCAAGACCTGCAGATTGCGCATCAAACGTACAGATGTACTCGTAAGTGCTGCACAACAAGCCAGATCAGTGAGTTGGAATAACATCGTTTTTTTGTTGCCAGCACGCGAAAGAAAATCGAAACTTGTTAAAATGCGGCCTAAATTTAATCAATATTTGCTAGGAAAAAGCAGCTTCTGAGCTTCGGCGCGGCGCTGCATTCTATATAGTGGATGTCCCGCTGTGCGGGAGTTCGATATACGAGTGCACCGGTCCCATACTTCTGCATCAAAAATTCAAGGGGACTTCCCAACTGTTTTATATAGCCAATAATTCAATATATGAGAGTTTGATATATCTGAGATTGACTGTAAGTTGATTTTTTGTGGGAAAAAAAAAAGCAGTCAAGTCGAGTTAATCATGGAGTTCCTAATCGTGACACAGCGCCAGCGCAAAACTTCTGTCTTTCCTCTTGTGGTACCAGATTTTGTTATGCATGCTAAACTGTAGCTCGACCAAAGTAAGTGTTTGTAGCATGGACGTAACTCTGAAGGACAATACATTTATTGTAGATGCTGTACTGGAGCGGTGGTATGCTTTTTTTTTCCACCTGGGAACTTAATTTTTCATTCAAGCTCTTGCTAATGACGTGGCAGTAGTCTGCAGTGTAGCTGTATTTGCTGCAAAGATATGGCATACAGCACACATGCCTTGTTCAAAATAAGTAAGAAAAAAGAAATGAATATCTATCAAAGCAGGCGCTCCACATCACCTTTAATAGCAGCAGCTGCTCCCTGTGCCTAGCTTTAAGTTGTGCTAGTAACTAAAGTAATCGTAGTGACAAGCCATAGTAACTAGCCACAAAAGTAAGCCATTGCAAAAAAAATCAGTAAAAAAATAACGCGCCACCTAAAAAGGTTTTCTCCATAAATCACCAGAAGCTTCAGCTGTAATTAAAACATGTAGGAAGTTTTGTGCTGCAATAGCAAAAACAAACAAACTAATGAATATAGTAGAGGTAGAATATAAGACAGTCTATGAATATAGTACAGGTGGAACAGGATAAAGTGACGCGATATGTGTGGGTAAATTAGCTACTCTCCTACACAGGCGCTGGATAATTCTAACTCGTTGACCATTGCTTGTAAGCATCATTGTTCGTGTGCCCTATTGGATATTGTAGTAATGTATCCATCCAAAGCTTGCATCACAGCTGTTGTTGTGTTCCTTATTTTCCCTCTGCATGGCACATTTCACAAGGCTGAGCGCTTCGTGTTTTGCGGAAATAAGTTTTCTTGTGCTAGTCGTCGCACGATAGTTAGCTGAGCCCTGCACGGTGAGTATGTACGACTCTTTGCTGATGTGAAGGGTGGCTTTCGCCACAACAAAGGGCTCACAGACCCTTAGATAAATTTTAACAACGAAAAGGCATGGGTTTTTTTCTCTCACAGTGGGTGCACAGGCCTTTTATGACTGTTTAAAGTGGTACATAGGCCTTTACGTGAGTTTTTGTGATAACAAGGGTGCACTGTTCATCTTAACGGCTGCAGTTGCTGGTACACTGAATCTACTTGCTAAACATTGTGAGGGCACTTTTAACCTTGGGGTGCGAAATTTCCGCTTTGGCTGCCCTTGCCATTGTAGTTATTGTTACGAGAGATTCACAGTGCGTTAGAACAAATTGCAGATGTATCCAATTTATCTTAACTTCAATCTCTCATGCTCCTCCTGTGAGTAGCAGTTGGTTAGGTACGAGTGATGGTAAGCCTGGCTGTCACTGCTCTCTGTGTGCCACACTGACCGTGCTTATTTACCATCACATTGCAGAATCAGCTTCACCACGAGTGTTCCTACTTCAGCCAAGCCTTGCAAGAGGAGCGGTACAGGTACGAGGTGAGCTGCTTTTGCTTTCTTTCAACTTTCTTTGTGTTATCTCCCCCCTTTCCTGGGAAAGCACTGACCTGGCAATTTTTTTTAAAGGTTCGCTCTTCATGAAGTACTAAAACAGAGTGAAAAATTAATAAAACTGCTTTATTTGAAACGTTTAGGTACACATGTAAGCCAGTTCTCTGCACAGCCACTGTTTCGATGGAAATATCTGTCTTAGCTTAGAACCGAAATTGCTGTACCCTCTTGGTAGAAGGTGGCCGGATATGATTTGAAATAATTCTGTATGCTGAAATCAAGAATTGGGGGAAATAGCATCTGGTCAGGATGCGAATGGGCAGAGTGAACAAGGCTCCCGTGTGGTAGCCGAAAGATTTATCTTTTTTACCACATTTTTTTGGTTGGCAGTTCAGTTTTTTATTTTTATTGTGCCAATTTGTTATGCTGTTTTGCAGATTGCAGTCCGACTCAAGCTCCTCTTCTGCTAGCCAGTGTTTCATGTGAAAAAAGAGGGAGTTATCAGAGGTAGCCAAGTTCAGGCTGTATGTTGGGGGATTGTACACTTCCACCACAAATGCTACCGTAGCTTCTTTATTGCATATGCTGTATGATGCCATGTATTTTCACGAAGAACGACTATATATAATGACAACATTCCTCTTTGCTTGTTCTGAATTGCTCTTCATAAACATTGAAGAGTCGTGCTGCACAAAGCTGGTGGAGTGCCGGGCCCAGTTTTGTGAATTTCTCTGTGACAACACAGTTTCTGTCCGAGAACACAGTAGCCAAGTACTTCCTGCCGGGGAAGGTTCGCTTGAATTTTTTTAGTCTTGAGGAATCAGATGGCTTCAACCATGCGCTTTCGTTCCCTCAGTTTTGAAACATCCCCCATGACTGTATCAGACCCAGGTAGGCTGATCAAAGACTGAGACGGTCACCGATGAAGCAGGATGCAGCAATGCCTTGCCGGGTTTATTGTCGCCGCTTATATTAGGCATAATCGGTCGGTGCGCACCGGAGTGCGCATCATGAGTCATGGTCAGCATGACCCAGAACGATACATCTCCCATCCTTTTTTTTTTTTTTTTTACAAGGCGTAACAAAGAAGTGCAATGCGATAGAAAAAATACAAATTCAACAGTATTCCGCCGGAACTAGCCGCTAAACTATTTGAGCAAAGTTGGGGCCGTATGCTAAACGTCTTGGTTCCTCCCTAATGCGCGCGGATCTTCTAGGTGCCGGCGAAGTCACGCGAGGCGGGCTCTGATGTGGAGGCTCTTCTGCGTCATCATCTCCGACGTCAGTGTCACTGTCGCTGGAGTACGTAAATGGCTCCGAGGTTGCCAGCAGCTGTTGGCGGTTACGCCGCAGCGTTCTCCCCTCTCCTGTTGCGACGTTGTAGGACCTCGGGGCTACTTTTCCCAATACCTTAGCCTTTTGAGACCAAGCCTGGCCTTTCACGCGAACCACGTCTCCCGGTAGGAGTGGTCTCAGCGGTCGTCCAGACGACGTCTGCTGGCGCTTTTTTACAGGACTCTTGGGCTGCAGGTTGAAGTCGGGGATCCTAGTGCGTAGAGGCCTGCCCTGCAGAAGTTCCGCCGGTGACCGGCCATCCTGCAAGGGAGCAGAGCGGTAACCAAGTAACCCAAGCCAAAAATCTTCATGTGTGGTCCCAGTCTTCTTAAGCAGCCGCTTTATAATTTGGACACCCTTTTCTGCTAGCCCGTTGGAACGTGGAAACATTGGGCTCGAAGTTATATGTTTGAAATCGTACCGTCTGGAGAACGTGGCGAATTGGTGACTTGCGAACTGGGGGCCGTTGTCTGTGCAGACTTCCATCGGTATTCCATACCTTGCAAAGATGGCTGCCAGCTTGTCGATAACCGCAGTTGCCGATGTCTCCTCGAGTTTTTCAACTTCTGGAAAATTGGAATAGGCATCAAAAACAGCAAGGTACGTGGCTCCAGCATAACAAAAAAGATCTACGCCCACTCGGTACCAAGGGTGATCAGGAGGGGTTCGTAGCAAGAGGGGCTCGTCCGGTTGTTTGTACGCATAGGTTTTACAGACAGCACAATTCCGTACAACGTCAGCAATGTCAGAGTTCAAACCAGGCCAAAATACTAAACGCCGTGCCCTAGCTTTGCACTTATTTAAACCAAGATGGCCCTCGTGAATGCGGCTTAGGGTTTCTGGACGCAGTTTCTTTGGTATAACTACTTTACAGCCCTTCAGAAGAATTCCGTCGACAGCTGAAAGTTCCGAGGCGAACGGCTTGAGTGTTCCTTCGAAGTCTTTGTTTAACGACAAGCTTTCTACTACCGCACGTAGCTCCGGGTCGTTAGATGTTTCCCGAGACATAAGCTGTTTCGTTCTTTCACTCACTAAAGATGACAAAACGGCCACTGCGTGTACTTGAATGTCGCCAAAGTCCACTGTGTCTTCACGCTCTGACGGTGTGGCCCTTGAGAGCATGTCAGCAAGGACCAATTCTTTGCCTGGAACAAACTGTAGAACATAGTCGTATATTAATAAGCGCAGAAAAAATCTTTGAAGTCTTGGGGGCATGTTCCCGATATCTTTGGACGAAATGGCTAGCAACGGTTTGTGATCGGTGTCGATCACAATTTTCCTACCGTACACAAACTGGTGGAACTTCTCGCAACCGTATGCTATACCCATCGCTTCTTTCTCTATTGGAGAATAACGCTTTTCAACGTCGGTCATGGCTCGTGACGCGTAGGCGATAGGACGCCAGCCACTGGAGTGTCGCTGGAGCAGTGCGGCCCCTATGCCATCCTTAGATGCGTCTGCCGTTATCTTTGTCTCTTTCGCGGGGTCGAATATAGCGAGGAGCGGGGCAGTGCGCAGCGCTTCGCAGACTGCGTGCCATTCCTGAGCGTGTTTTTCGGTCCAGTCAAATACGGTGTCCTTCCGTATCAGGCTTCGAAGAAGCTTCGTTCTATCAGCGAGAGTTGGCACATATTTTCCAAAATAGTTTATTACTCCAAGCATACGTTGTACGGCAAGTTTTTCAGTTGGTACGGGCATTTTGCTCAAACAGTCTACAAGAGCTGCATTTGGACGAATTCCTGCTGAGCTGATAACATCGCCCAAGAAAACTATCTTCTGCACTCCAAACTGGCACTTCGCCCTGTTGAATGTTAGCCCTGCGCGTTGGGCTGCGCATAGAGCGGCTTGAAGGCGACTGTCATGCTCTTGCTTGGTTGCTCCCCACACGAGAATGTCATCAATGTACACTCTAACTCCGGGTAAATGGTCAAAAATCTCGCTCAGTGTTTTCTGGAAGACTTCGGGGGCAGATGCAATGCCAAATGGAAGTCTAAGAAATCGGTAGCGCCCGAACGGCGTGGCGAACGTGCATATCTTTGAGGTAGGTTCATCAAGGGGAATTTGGTGAAACCCTGCGTTAGCGTCTAGTCGACTGAAGAAATTCGCACCAGACAGCTCCGCCTCAATGTCTTCGCGTTGTGGCATCTGGTAGTGTTCGCGTTTCAAGCATGCGTTTACGCTTCTTGGATCCATGCATACCCTGAGGCTACCGTCTTTTTTTCTTACAATAACAAGCGGGCTTACCCAATCAGTTGGTTCGTCCACCTTGCAGATGATGTTCGCCTGTTCCATGCGCACCAGCTCTTTCTGTAGGGGTTCCCGTAAGGCCAAAGGAACGCGTCGCGCTGCATGGATCACTGGAACCGCATCGTCATGTAGTACCATACGATATTGCCGCTTCACGCACCCAGTGCCTTCGAAGAGGTGGCTGAATTTCTGCGTCGTTGGGAGAGACCGTTGCGTCATTGGAGTCATCCCTTCAGTGGTTACGAAATCAACCACCCTGGAGACAAGTGCTAGAGATTCAGCCAATTCGAGACCTAATATACTCTGGCCCCGCTTCACAACGAAGAAATCTGCAAGGCACCGACGCTCGTTGATCGTAATCACCTGAGTTGTCACTCCGTAGTGCATGATAGCGTTTCCGCTATAGGATCGTAAAACGGAATTACTTGCCCTGAGGGGTGGATTCGTTCGGAATCTTTTGTACACTGACAGTGGTAATAAATTGGCTTGGGAACCAGTGTCTACTTTGAATGCAACTTCTTGCTGTCCAACTTGGGCCTTAACAATCCAATCTGTTTTCTGGATTCCGCACACGGTGACGTCCAAGATTGCAAAGTCTTCCTTTTCCTCTTGTACTTCGTCGACCTCATACTTTCTGCAACAAACCGCAAAATGATTTCGGCCTGCGCAGGCGCGGCATATTTTGCCAAAGGCGGGACATTTCCTAGGCTCATGTCTTCGATTGCACTTGCAGCACTGGACAGGAGCTTTCCGGCCTTGGGTGCGATGTAGGTAACGTTTTTCGGTGGCGTCCACTCTTGCTTCGTTACCTTGCCATGCTTCGTTTTGCTTGTTCGCGAGCTCTGCTGCTTTGCAGATTTGTTCGGCCTTCTGGAGCGTCAAGTCCTTCTCGCGTAGCATCTTTTCCCTCAGTTTAGTGTTCCAGGAGCCAAATACGATTTGGTCGCGTATCATCGAGTCAGCAAGCGGACCGAAGTTGCAATACCTTGCTTGCTTGCGCAGGTCTCTTATGAAATGTTCCACTGGTTCAGCTTCATCTTGCGTCCTTGTCCTGAAGACATATCTTTCGTAGACTTCGTTTTGCTGCTCTGTACAGTACTCTTCAAATTTCTTTACCACAGTCTGGTAGTCTTGCTTGTTCTCGCCTTCTGCGAATGTAAAGTTATTGAAGACTTCTAAAGCGTCGTCCCCAGCAGCAGTCAGGAGCCTGGCTGTTCTAGCAGCTTCTGTCAGTCGTGTAGCTGGCTCTGTTGCTTGTAGAAACAATTCGAACTTTTGTTTAAAAAGCTGCCAGTTCTTCTGAACATTTCCTGTCAGGCATAGTCGGTCCGGTGGCTTCAGTAGTTCCATGATTGTCGGCACCGGCGAAGCGATGTGGTAGCATCCGCCGTCGATCCCACTTCTGACACCATGTATCAGACCCAGGTAGGCTGATCAAAGACTGAGACGGTCACCGATGAAGCAGGATGCAGCAATGCCTTGCCGGGTTTATTGTCGCCGCTTATATTAGGCATAATCGGTCGGTGCGCACCGGAGTGCGCATCATGAGTCATGGTCAGCATGACCCAGCACGATACAATGACTATTTTGTTAAAGCAATGTACTCTTTCATGTGGCGCTAGAGAAATGTTAAGGTTGTGCCCACTTGCGGAATTTTATGATGGCCGGTCAGAATCTTGGGAACTCGCCTCGCACAGAGTCTGCGGTAATGGAGTCATTAGAGAGCTGATCGCGAAATTTCGGGAAATGAATCACTCAGCACAGAAACTGTGACCTGTCACTTTTTCTAAATAGCCTAACCCACTCGCTGAAACGTGGGGATCGGTGAGCAGTCACTTTCTTCCCTGTTTGCCTGCATCGTGAATGTCACTAGATTATGATTCATATTTTCTGCACCACTGCTGCACCTTGCTGTCACTCGTGGAAGTTGCCCCGGACACATTGCTCATTCGTGGATGATTTGAGCTGCTCTGTAGTCCTCGGCGAGAAGAAATTAAATTGCGGCGTGCACTTTGCACTTGGTGGCAGACTGTTATTTTACGTGCCGGCTACATGCTTATAACTGGGAGCTGCAACCTAATGTGGTGGGTACAAGCGTATTAGAAAGATTGAACAACGTTTGGGCATTGTACCATGTATGACCATTTCGGTTTGGCTCTGCAGTGTGTTTCTTTGAAAGCCTTACATGTTACGTGCTGAGATTCTGGAATGTGAGAAGCGGAGTTTGTAGCATGCGCAGTGAACGAGCTAGGGAATTCTACCCATTCTGCTTCCTCCTGGCACGACTCTCCTGGGCCAAAGTGTGACATACACATGTCGATCTCATTGCCTTTCTGTGGTGCTCAGTGCCGCAGTTTTTTTTTGTTGTCATTACAAGTGAAGCAGCAGGGTTTGGCAAACGCTGTTGATAAAGGCGTCACAGGCTAATCTGATGCAAAGTGCAAGGCATGTGTGAACACATCAACATCTCTTAAAGGGAAGGCCTCTGCACCATGTTCATAGGCAGCCGCCCCCCCTCCCCTCTCTCTCTCTCACTATGGGGCACTGACAGCACTGACTCTGCTGAAGCATTCACTGTCAGCACTTGTGAGTGTCATAAGGCAGTTCTTTTCTTCATCGCTCCTATAATGCAGCAGTACCACAACACAGGCCTGGGTTGTGACGGCTCTGCCAATCGCAGCAATTTGATACAGTCGCTCATTTTTGCACCAGGCTGAGCCAGAACTGCAATATTGGTTTCGCATCCTGACCCACTAGTGGCTACTGTGCTGGCTTCGACTTACTGAAACTAGACGAGACGACTTCACAGAAGCGTTCCTTCATGCCACGTCGTTACACATAGCCCCTTGAAGGCAGAGGTTAGCCCTGGGCGCTCGAAGGAAAACACGAGGCTGAAAGACTGAGTGGAGAAGGAGGGTAGCTATTTATTATTTGTAACTCCCTTAATAGAAGGGGTTCTGACTGAATTGTGGTGCTGATGGTTTCTTCCAGTAATGGTTTAGCAAAAATGAAATGTCAAAAAACTGTTTCAGGAGCCCTTTAAGTTGAATCTAGCAGGACTATTGCTGGTTCCATGGGAACAAAAAATTCGTGTGAGCAGTGCCACCTGATACTGGAGAGCAGTAACAGTTTGCATATACCACTTTGCCGGCAACGAGGTGCCATCTGGCCACTTATTTTGGAAGGTGTTACGAGAGCACAGCAGCAAGTTTAAGGGGCACGGTGTAAGCACGACTGCAGCACGTTGGCTCAGCTTTCACTAAATAGTGTTAATGCAAGCTTCTTGGTACATATTGAACTTTGGATTCTACCAAAAAATTATTTTCCCCTCAATATGTAGACTTTTTTCTTCCTGAACGAAATGGCACTGTGGTCTCAATTCAGTGGGTTTTTTTCATTTTACTATTTGCACACACACAAAAAAAATAATTTGAAGGTGGCTTCACAGCATTGCAGGACAATGAAAGGTGGCAATAAAATGAAAGCTGAGGCACAAATGGCACAACACGAACGAGTGTGGCCATACGGTGTAAAGAAACACAGCTATTGTGAGTGTCGCCATCATTGGTTTCATATGGAACCATTTTTTATTGAGGATGAGTGTAGCCATCATCGGTAATATGGTTACAAAGCCCCATGACGACTACACTCACCAGCAGGAGTGAAAGGGTTAATGATAATGTCGGGTCGATCAAAAGCTGATGCCAATCTCTTTCTGTGTGCTCTCTGTTGACATGCTGCCAGATGCCCCTGGTTCCAGCTTCGTGCTGGCACGCTGATCAAGCAGCTTGCAGGCACGATGTCACTGAGGTGGGCTCTTGCTTTAGCTGCTCTCTGCTGCACTGCACCTGGCCCTGATTAAATTGTTATAACGAGACTTTTCAGCAAGGTGGTACCGAGCCGCATATACCGAGGCATAGGACTTTCGCATCTATGTCAGGGCCAGTATGAGGACCATCGCTGCACATACTTCCCGCAGCTGTTACTTTACGAGCATCTGACCTTAGCAGGAGAAAGGAGCTTCATTGGAGTTATCCAGCATTGTAATGTAAACATGCGTGATGACTCTACAGAGCTTTTGAATGTCTTAACAGCAATAAGATGACTTATTAAAGGGATACTAAAGGCTGATAACAGTTTCTATCAGAGTGAAAGCTTAATGTGTGACAACGTCTGAAATGGTATATTATCAACAGCGGTGCCCTGCTTACTGAGAAATTAAGCTAAATGTATCAAGCCGTGGGCCCCATGAGTGAGATATTTTGGAAATGATTCCGATCACGTGAGAGCGACCAACTACAATTAATAACTAGTAATTGAACTAGCTGCAATAAAAGAAGAACCTTCCATGCGTCAAGAGACATAATAAAATGCTGCTTGTCTGTTTCTGTTTGATTTACAAAAAAAGAACCACCGGGAATTACTATTAGGAATAGTGCGAGTAGTTCAAAAGTTCCATTTTTGCCTGGTTCAACTGGACAGGTGGTGCCATCTAGTGGAGCCCAGTTGAATCAGGCACACCCGCCATCTTAGAAGCTATGGTAGAAAATTGTTCAGTGGCCGTTGTTGCTGCTGTGGTTCCCGCTACTTTCGCTCTGCTGCTATTAGTGTCGGCGGCCACGCGGTAAAGCCGAGTAACATTGTGCACGGCAACAGTGACGCGAGATGGACGACTTTCAGGCGGGGTAATCGAAGTGCTCTAACCCAATGCGGGCCACTAGACCGTGATTTTATTTCAAAGTAAGCACTTCCTTGGCACCGAAGTAGTCGTACAACATCGATTTTATGTTTGCCTTTAGTGCCCCTTTAATATATGCCTGCATTGGGGAGCCCTACACAATGCAAGAGGGGACAAGCAGAAAGTGTGCTTAATTTTTCTGCATGTCTCTTCTTTCTCATGTGTTGTACTGTTTCCCAATTTGCGCATTTGCCAACAAGTCGTTAAATTGAAGCAACTTGTCCTTCAAGGTATTCTCTTTAAGATGAAAAATTGGCTTGTATTAGCTACTATGATCTGAGTAGGCATATTTTCTTTTCCTACAAGCAATTCATTTTTCACGTTCTTAAGAAAAAGATAGAAGCACCAGCTGAACTGGCACAACATTCACTCTGCTCGGATCTTGCATGGATCGGCACTAATTCGGCATGAGAGCACCTGCCTTCGCACCCTTTTTCAACACCCTTATATCATCTCTCTTGTTTTAAAGCACGTGCAAAGTAGGGGTGTCATCAACTCGATTTACTGTTGGTGATGCAGCGTCTGGAGGAGCAGATGAACGACCTGATAGAGCTGCACCAGAACGAGATGGAGAACCTGAAGCAGGGAATGGCTGACATGGAGGAGAAGGTTCAGTACCAAAGCGAGGAGCGACTGCGAGACGTCCAAGAGCTTCTCGAAAACTGTCAGACACGGGTGAGAAAGATGGAACACGCTGTAGGCTCTAAGCAAACGGAAATATTTTAAATGGAAGCACTGCCTCTACTTTCACCCGCCATGGCGGTTTAGTGGTTATGATGTTCGACTGCTGACCTGCAGGTCACGGGGTCGAGTCTTGGCTGCAGCGGCCACCTTTTCGATGGAGGTGAAAATGCGAAAGGCCTGTGTACAGTGGGCAGGTTAATGAGCACCAGATGGTCGAAAGTTTCGCAGTACTCCACTACGGCGTCTCTCATACTCAAATCGAGACTTTTGGATGTAAAATTCTAACAATTATTATTATTATAACTGCCTATGATTGGTTTTGTATTTGCACTCTGCAACCCTGTTCATTTCCCAGTAATCAGAACTCCTGTTAAACGTAACACATTTTCCTGGTCTCTTCAGGTTCTGTTTAACGAGTCTGCAAAGCAAACTAAAATTTTAGTTCCTGGTATTTCTTGCTGCAGTGGTAATACTTTTGTCTAATGGTAAATTAATGCTACGACTATTATTTCTCCTTCTGTTGTTCCGCGTGTTTATTCTCGAGGAGAATGTTTTGTTGTTCATCGATTATCATTGCGTCAGTATTTGTAAGTACACCACGAGTGAATTTTCGCTGTTTATGGGATGTTTGGTACATTTTTATTGATGTACGTATGTAAGCCACAAATAAAAATCAGTAGAATGGTCTGATGGGATCGGTGCTCCAATCCTTCAGTACAGAAACCAAAGGCTCTCGCTGTTCTTCCAGTGGGCTTCTTGTGTATAAGCAAGAGTGTTTTCTAAGAGTGTGTGAATATTCGAAATTTTGAATATTTTTCAAATAGTGTTTGCTATTGAACTTGCACTGGAATTTTGTTGTTCGAATTATTCGAACTTCTCAAAGAGAAATACAGCCAACGACCAATTCGAAGTTACCCCTTCAGACTTTCAATATTCCTGACCTCATCACGCTCTTGTATCAAGGCAAAGCTGCCTTTCAAGCTCCGCTATAGTTGCAAATCAAGAAGAAGAAATGGACATGGGCCGGGCATGTAGCACGTAGACAGGATAACCACTGGTCATTAAGGGTAACTAACTGGATTCCTAGAGAAGGCAAGCGGGTTAGGGGGAGACAGAAGGTTAGGTGGGCAGATTATATTAAGAAGTTTGTGGGTATAAATTGGCAGCAGCAAGCACAGGACCGAGTTGAATGGCGAAACATGGGAGAGGCATTTGTCCTGCAGTGGACGTAGTCAGGCTGATGATGATGATGATAGTTGCAAATCTGTTGACTCAAGAAAATGCTGGTTCCAACATGAAATATGTGCAAGAGATGGGGGCACAGTTAATGCTGTTTTGGACCTGATATTCGGGCAGGAAATCTGAAAAATGGGACGCCGAAAATGTTCAGCATCCAATATTTCAGATGTTCTTATATATTAACGTCTATATATTCCGGGCTGGAAGGAAGCACACCCTTGTCCACCACATTAGTTGGGCTTCCACAGAAGTTGAAAGAGGAAGAGAGGCTGGGGAAATAGCATCTTTGCCTTTCACCTGCAAAGTGTTGTCAGCAACACTTTGGTTGCACCAAATCACGTGCCTAAATACAATGTGGCCTCTGCATTGACAAATTCTTGATAAGACAGCTATGAAACTCGACTGCGCTAGCGCTTCATCAACCTAGCAAAAAAAAAAAAAGAACACATTCATGTTGCTATGTCGTAAGAATATGCTTTGGCATCATCTTCAACTTTTTTTTTTCTGCAATTTCACTTCGAAGTAGTATTCTAAAAATATTTGAAAAATATTCTATTTAATTCGCACAGCTCTAGTGTTTTCCATAACATTAATGGTTGTCACAGCGCCCAATAATTTTTCTTGATTAACTCTTTCATGCACAGAACTTCATTTTTGGAGGGAAACAGAGTCTTATTGAAGGAATTGTGAAATCTACTGCAGAAAATAATTTTCTCACAAGAAACACAAAATCGGCAATAGTATTGGTTCAAAAGGCAGGTGACCACGATCCAGTAAGGGTCTCCTGGTCACTTTTGGTGAAAGTACAGCTCTCCATTTCTATGGTCCTTATCATTATCTACTCATACAACATGCTCTCCTGCACTATCAACGTAGTAAATCATCATCATCATCATCATCATCATCATCATCATCATCCTGACTACGTCCACTGCAGGACAAAGGCCTCTCCCATGTTCCGCCAGTTAACCCGGTCCTGCGCTTGCTGCTGTCAAATTATACCCGCAAACTTCTTAATCTCATCTGCCCACCCAACCTTCTGTCTCCCCCTAACCGGCTTGCCTTCTCTGGGAATCCAGTTAGTTACCCTTAATGACCAGCGGTTATCCTGTCTACGCACTACATGCCCGGCAAATGTCCATTTCTTCTTCTTTATTTCAACTATGATATCCTTAACCCCCGTTTGTTCCCTAATCCACTCTGCTCTCTTCTTGTCTCTTAAGGTTACACCTACCATTTTTCTTCCCATTTCTCGCTGCGTCGTCCTCAATTTAAGCTGAACCCTTTTTGTAAGTCTCCAGGTTTCTGCTCCGTAGCTAAGTACCGGCAAGATACAGCTGTTATATATCTTCCTCTTGAGGGATAGTGGCAATATACCTGTCATAAATTGAGAGTGCTTGCCGAATGTGCTCCACCCCATTCTTATTCTTCTAGTTACTTCAATCTCGTGGTTAGGCTCTGCGGTTATTACCTGCCGTAAGTAGACGTAGTCTTTTACAACTTCAAGTGCACTATTACCTATCTCGAAGCGCTGCTCCTTTCCGAGGTTGTTGTACATTACTTTCGTTTTCTGCAGATTAATTTTAAGACCCACCTTTCTGCTCTCCTTGTCTAACTCCGTAATCATGAGTTGCAATTCGTCCCCTGAGTTACTCAGCAATGCAATGCCATCGGCAAAGCGCAGGTTACTAAGGTATTCTCCATTAACTCTTATCCCTAACTGTTCCCATTCTAGGCTTCTGAAAACCTCCTGTAAGCACGCGGTAAATAGCATTGGGGAGATTGTGTCCCCCTGCCTTACACCCTTCTTGATTGGTATTCTGTTGCTTTCTTTATGAAGCACTATGGTAGCAGTTGATCCCCGGTAGATTTCTTCCAGAATGTTTATATATACTTCATCTACGCCCTGATTCCGCAGTGTCTGCATGACGGCTGATATTTCTACTGAATCAAACGCCTTCTCGTAATCTATGAAGGCTATGTATAGTGGTTGGTTATACTCTGAGCATTTCTCTATTACCTGATTGATAGTATGAATGTGGTCAATTGTTGAGTAGCCTGTTCGAAATCCTGCTTGTTCCTTTGGTTGATTAAATTCTAATGTTTTCTTTACTCTGTTAGCAATTACCTTTGTAAATAGCTTGTATACTACAGAGAGCAAGCTGATCGGCCTGTAATTCTTCAAGTCCTTGTCATCTCCTTTCTTATGTAATAAGATGATGTTAGCGTTCTTCCAAGACTCTGGTACCCTTCCCGTCAAAAGACACCTCGTAAACAGGGTGGCTAGTTTTTCTAACACAATCTGTCCTCCATCTTTCAGCAGATCTGATGTTACCTGATCCTCACCAGCAGCTTTGCCTCTTTGCATGCTCTCCAAAGCTTTTCTGACTTCTTCTATCATTACTGGTGGTGTGTCATCTGGGTTACTGCTAGTTCTTATAGTATTAAGGTCGTGGTTGTCTCAGCTACTGCACAGATCTCTGTAAAACTCCTCCGCTATTTTAACTATCCTATCCATATTGGTAGTTATTTTGCATTCTTTGTCCCTTAGTGCATACATCCGACTTTTGCCTATCCCAAGTTTCCTCTTCACTGCTTTGACGCTTCCTCCGTTTTTCAGAGCGTGTTCAATTCTCTCCATGTTATACCTTCTTACATCGCATACTTTACGTCTATTAATCAACTTCAAAAGCTCTGCCAGTTCTATTTTGTCTGTTGTACTTGACACTTTCATGATTTGATGCTTCTTAATTAGGTTCTTCGTTTCCTGGGAAAGCTTGATCAACTTGATAAAAATTTATATCTATAAAACTATCTCGGTTCCACCATCTAGCACGCCTTGAGGACGACAGCCGGAAGAAAGCAAACGTAACATGTCACATGGAAGCCCAAATGAAGTAGCGTCATCTCTGTCAGATTGCCTCCAGCATTTCACCTCCAGAAATGTGCCATTCAAAATGTACCATTCAAAATCTGACACAAGGGGCTCACATGTTTCAAGAGGGGGGAAAAAAAAAATGAAGAAAAGGTGGTTACCTGAGGTGACCGCCGCGATGGAAAGAGTTGAGCCAGCACATTCAGATTCTGGGTGAATTTTCGCAATTGTGTTAGTCTGCCCATCGATCTTGCTTTGTGCACCATGACTGACGGCACTGCTGGCAACGGCATTGCAAGGGGTTCTGCTGCTGCCAGAGCGCACCGTTCCTTCTGCCATGCAAGAGTTGTCTTGCAAGCACTCCGTTGTGGTGCCAACTTGTCTCAGTTGCGTGTAGTTTTAAGACTTTTTGAATGGTCGCGGGGCAGGGCTAAACATTGCTGTAGGCACTATAGCCTTGCTTCCAGCAATAGTGCATTGCCCTTCCAGTGAAACTTTCAGTAGTTCATGGCGAGACTTCATGCGCAAGAAACTGGGCACAGAGAAGAAGACATGGAACCGTCACCCACGTTACTTCAGTTACAATAATTCTTTTGTCACCCACCATGGTCAGCAGCTTGCGTATAGTGCAATGTGTAAAGATGCTCTGACCTGCTGTGGTAATCTAGTGGTTGTGGTGCTCAACTGCTGAACCGAATGTCCCATGATTGAATCCCTGTCATAGCAGCCGCATGCTGGAGGTCGGTGCACTTGGCTTTAGGTGCGCGTTAAAGAACCCCAGGTGGTTGAAATTTCCGGAGCCATCCACTGAGCAGTCCCTCCTAATGATGCGTAGTTTTGGTACGGAAAAGTCCAACAATTAACGTTAACAAGGCACTGTGTGCACGCTTGCAGATCAGCCGCATGGAGCACCAGCAGCATCAGCAGCTACAGCAGCTGGTGAGCCTGGATGCCCTGGACAACTCGCAGGCTCGCGCCCTGGGCCTCAAACTGGTCAACGTCCTGCTCATGCTGCTCCAGCTGGCCCTGCTCCTCGTCTCCACCATAGCCAACATCGCCATGCCCTTCCTGCAGTCCAGGCGAGTACAGGCAGCGTTGCACAGTTAGCTAGTAGTCGCTTGTCTCTGTTGTGCACTGAATGTAAGCTCGCTTATGCTAATTGCAAGACATGTCCTATCGAAGCATAGATTACACAATAATTTAGCAGCTACCCAAGTTCAGTGAGGGATAACGTTTGGTCAAATGTATGTGATGTAATTGTAGAAGAAGCGCAGCATGGATGGGAAAACAAGGCAGAGAAGTATGTAGCACAGGTGTAGAGTCCTGTGTATATCTTTATCTGCTGTTGGTGTCCTGCTGTGCTGATAATAAAATGAAAACTAAAAGGCTCACCAAGATTTCACTCTTTTGAAGTGGCGTATATGTATGCCATCACTTGCATGCACCAGGGCTTCAGGCATCCCCGATATGCTGATGCATGCGCTTTATGCGCTCGAGTCGAAAGGTTATGGATTTATGCACCTGTAAAATATCTCTTTCTTGCAAGTTTAAACACCAGCTGCGCAACTGTGGCTTACAGACCTTGTTTCAAGTTCCATGTTGAGTGACCTGGATCTTGCGACAGTGACCGGAGAAGCCCTCAACACTTAAGCTAGTGTGTGATCGCTAACCGTGAACATACTGCTAGAAACCTTAATATTGTGATCTTTCAGGTCAGCTGCATGGACAATTCTATATCATCCTAGCCAGAAATGGGCCACACAGCTTCAGAAGTAGAAACAGCTTTTAGCTTGCTGGCTTTAATTAGCCAATTAAAACTGAGTAGTGCTGTCAAGTCTATAAAGATCCTAAGGTGCTGGCATCATGTAGAGCATTGTGTTAAGGTGGAGCCCCTGCAGCGGTGTACTATATAATACACTGGCCTTATGAGGAACTTTTCCTGGAGAGACTGTATTTATATTAACTCTATAGTGCCGTGTTTCTTAACTACCAACTGCAAGCTTGTTCTAAATCCTCGGTATTCTTTGTTTCATTTCATTATTGTACACAGGTTACGAATCATCACGACCGCTCTTCTGATCCTGGCCATTGTCTCTGCTGCCAAACAATGGCAAGAACTGTCAGCTTGGTTTCAACTACAACTAAACGAAGCTCTGGAACGTTGGAAATGAGTAAACACCAGGCATTGTCGTCCAGGAAGTGAACTGTCGGAGCCGCACTTGCGCCCAGGGGGCCCCCTCTATGCGTGTGGGTCCCCCGTGACGCAAATTGTGGCTAAAGCATTGCGCGCGGCATGCGCCGGCTCGGAACAACCCCACCTCGAGTCACGTCGAGCCGAGGCATTGGGGTTACATTTGCTACCGAGCAAAAGAAATGGTCCTCGTGCCGAGAATTGCCCAAATCGAAGAGGAGGAGCAGACTTCGTTGTCGCCTGTCGGACAAAAGCTCTGCACTGCTGCTGCGCCCCTGTTTCTTTCTGAACTCTCTACAGAAGCATGTCGTGCACAGTTATGTGTTGTTTCTGACTTCCGTCTTCTCTGCTTTACCCATGTTTCGTGTTGTGCCGTCTTGCGAAGCATTGTGTCGCTGCAGAATCGACTCGCATGGCATCATTTGGAATGGGTACTGTTACGTGATGTTCGGGTCGCTGCTTTACGCGCGATGCCGATGTGGCAGTCATTCCTTTCTTGATTGGTGCCTTACAAGCTGTCATCGTGGAGAGAAGCGATTGTTTGTTGTTGGCAACTCTGCACTTACGAGGTCTATTTGTTTTAGTTTAATGCCCGCTTTTACGAATGAATGCTGACTGCATAGGCTACGCAAAAGCAATGTTAACAATTGCTTTTTAGTTGCGAGAACCAAGACTCTTGGTTCTGTCTCTGTCCTCCCCTTGCACTTAGTTTCAGTGCACTAAAACGCTTCGTGATCAACAGGCTTGGGCAGCTGTAAGTTTATTCTGCGTCCAATCTCTTCACTGCACGGAAAGGAAGCCTTTACTTTGTCGTGCTGCCATTAGTACATTCAGCCGAGCTTCATGGCGAGAATTCAATTCCGGGCGGGCCTGCGATGTCTGGCGGAGTGCGGCACCTTGACAGTTATTGCACTCTAAGACATTCCAAAGCGTATCATGCGAGTAGCTTCAAAGCAGCTGCTACATGCCGGATTCCTGGACTTTGTGCGACGAAGTAGGATTGCGGGTGTCCTTGTCAAGCCTTCAGAGGCGGCGAGCGTGTTGTATACACACTACATATAGAATGATGTATGGGTGTGTACAATATGGAAGTCATTCTTTTAAATATTCTGTGATAAGCGAGCAAAAGGGATTCTAGTGTTGCGGCGTCGACTGTGTGAGCCTCGCCGTCCAAGGTGGGACATTTCGCCACCGCGACGCGGGCCCTTTGGAAAATGCAACACAAAGTGCCCCTTGCTTGATTTGTTTGGGACGTTTGTTTGAGCAGTTCTTCCATGCCGCTGCTTTCCTTTTTTTTCCCCTCCTCCTTAATAGGCCGGGCGAGTGTTTCGCATTTGGACGCGTATTTTGTTATTAACGTGTTTTATGGGCCATCATGTTATAGTGATGACAGCGTCTCTCCGCAATCGCATCGTCTGTTCTTTTCCTCGCACTTAGTGTTCGTTGCAGTGAGGCCCGTGTTGTAGTAAGTGAACGAATTTTGATGCATTCCACATCAGACTGGTGATTATAGCGCATAGGTTGATGTATGTTGTGACTATCGCTTTAATTTTATCTTGGAAATGTGGAAAGTCTCCGTACAACTGTCTTGAGACTGCATCAGTTCAATTTTTTTTATGTAATTGTAAGCACAAAACCAAATGGCCACCACCATTTTATATTGAATAACGTGCATGTGAGACAAACGACAATATTTTAACTGCGCTTAGATTTGCGTGTATTATGCCACAGAGCTAGCACTTGCGGGAAGCAGATGTTGACAGTACTACTAGTAAAAAAAGGTGTGCATTTTCAGGCGGCTGGATAGTAGTGGTTTTGTTTTTTATAGGAATATCTATTGGCTTTGCTGAAATACCAAAGTTTTGTGCTCTTGTCAAACAGGAAAAAATGAGATTGTGTGGAGTGAATACTTTTTAACAGCGTCACGGTGATATTGTTATGCTGAAGTGACCTAGGCTGTTTACTATCTTTGATGATCGATAAGTGCTGTCCTATGTCAGATGGAAAGTTAGGCTATTGGTGAATGTTCTTTTTGTGTCAGTATTGTCACGGTGAATGTAGACGTTAAGTATTTCCGTGTCTAAATTTGATTATTGGCAATGTTTAATTATTCTGACTCATCAGTAAGTGTTTTATGGTTAATAAAAATGGAAAGTATACCTGATTTTAATTTTTTTTTATCCTGTGTTTGGGATGGATGGTTGAGGCATGTAAAACAGTATTGTTGCCAGATGTTTCTGCACTGTAAGCATCGACGTTGTGGCTGCTCTTGCTTAGAAAGTGTCTTCTGAAGGTCTTCAAAACTACGACTTGATAGATCAAAACCAGGCCTAGGTATGAGGTTATGGTAGAAATAAGGCTGCCATGCTTTGCAATGAACAGTCAAGATGAAGGGTAACAAAAAAATGGGGAAGCTACATACTACTATTGAGAGGGCCAAGGAAGGAGTAGAGTTTGTCATTCCCTTTTTCCCCCACCTCCTCACCATCGCGTTCCTTTCCCTGCCCTTGATATACTACTGGCCGCGAGGCCTTCCACTGGAGGAGCTGGTGCTACCATCAACATGACGTACTTAACAGGATCACTGGCCCTGATGTCTGCAACGAGAGCACTGACTCACGTTGAAAACGAAATTTTAGAACATAACCTGCGCTGTTGTTCCGATTAAATGGGGAAGTTTTCCCGCTTTTGCTGGGCACTTCACGATACTTGAAAACATGGAAATGTGTAATTGCTGTCTTTGAAGGTGTTTTATAGACCACTTCGCTGTTTAGAAACACAGGTCCTCGACTGCTACCGATTTTGTGTGCCATTGTAGCATTATGGCCTGAAAAATCTGGGCACGTTTTCTGGAAGTGAAGATAAAGACAAAGTGAGCACAGGTGATAATTTCTATTAGCGACTAGTAGGGATTCATACTTTAGACTGTGCAGCGCGCAAAGGAAAATAATAAAAAGCGACGACAAAGTACGAAAGAAGTGCACACAACGTGCGCCGCCTTTCAACTGAATTTTAAATGCGAATGTATTTAGTCGGTGCATGTTAGGCGTGTGTCGGTGTCCGCGCGCCGGCAGCTGTTATCTCAGCTCTCCGTCTTCCATAGCAACAGCTGCGGGCGCGTGCACGTATCCTCGCCCCTAGCAACCGGAGCAGGCGGTGAGGGCGGAGTAGCGGAGATTTGAGAGAAAGAGCGTGCTGTGGCATCTAAGGGCGCTCATATCGCGGAAGCTCGGCGGAGCTCCCGCGTGTGTAGAGAGAGTGTAGGAGAGGGTAAATGCAGTGCTTCGCTGCTCCTCTCGCCGTTCGCTCTCTCTTTCCTGCGCTGCAATCACACGTTCTCTCGCTCGTATGTATATATAAATGGAGTGAAGCGCGCACCTCTTGACCGTTCGCTGGCTGATGAATTTGTAAATAAATGGTTAAAGTACAAATCTTCATCTCGTCATTAATTCATGCCATTAAAATTACTACGCCGCGTACTATCGGTGCAAGAAATGCATTCACATTTCCTCACGATTTCCTTCGGGGCGAGGGGGGGGGGGCATTTTTTTATTCGGAACACCCGTCGAGGGCCGCAACTAGGGGGAGTTTGGAGTGGGGGAGGGTTCTAACAACCCCCAAAATTTTTCATGTTTTAACTTTTTGGGTGATACTAACGTATTCAGAAGTCTTCACATATACATCGAGTTGCCAAAGTTGACCTTTCTACACATCGATACCACCCGAAAAAAAAAAATAAAAAATTCTGGCTACGGCCCTGCACCTTCGTACGAAAATGTGGCGAACGAAAAAACGAGCACATCAAAAAGTTTTCTTTTTTTCGGTCACATATCAGGCTTCAACTTGAGCCATAGCTTTAGAGTAGTGCTCTTAGGTGCCCGTTCCTGCGATGAGCAGTGACGTAACCGATAGTGCGAGCAAGAACGGAAGAGAGCAGAAAAAAAAAAAAAAGGCTGCGCATCTGCGTGTTTTGCTGCAAAGGTGTCTAGATAGAGAGAGAATATTGACGTTCTGCGCGAGAAAATCGGTGAGTGGGATCCTTAGTCCGGGATCCCATTGGCGTGGGCCGCTGTGAGTTGGAGGAGGAATAAACTTTATTATTCATAAAGAGAAGGGGAAATGGGGGAAACCAAGTTTGACGGGGGCTAGGTTGGGGCCCAAGGGGCCGCAACACTAGCAGAGCAGTACGCCAGCTTGGCTTGTATATGCAAATTCGGGCTCCTTATGGACCTCTCCCAGGCTTCCGGTGAGGGAGATGGCTGCAGGAGCTTCTCGAGTGGAGGGTTGTCGGGGCAACCCCATAATACATGGTATTGTCCTGCCTGTGCTAGGCCACAGTTATCACACTTGTGTAGCTTTTCATATTTCACTATCGCGGCCAGCCTCCCCGGGCTGAGTATAAAATGAATCTGAGTCCTTCGCAGTGTAGTCGCTTGGGCCCGGGTTAATGCTGCAATTGGAGGTGAATAAAGCCTTCTTTGTTCTCGGTGCCGGCTGAGCCGGTCTCCGTAGCTGAGCGCCAGGTCATTCGGATTTGGTTCCTGGGACCGCATCACTGCCCGGTTTATGTTCCCTCGGGCTGTCTGGTGAGCGGCCTCATTTCCCAGGTTCCCACAGTGGCCCGGAACCCAGACGAGCTTGATTTATTGTGTAGGTCGTGCTAATTCTTGCAGTGCCGTTCATATGCCTTGATAACCGACATCCAATCCTGCTTTTTTAGATATAGACGCCATCTGGCCGTGATTTCAAAAAACTGAAGTTTTTCTAGAAGTAAGTAAGTAGGTGCTCCTAATCCCTTTTGGCACAGGGCAGGCGCCAGCAGCGCCACAGGACAAAGTTGTGCGCTTCAACGCACATCCATACACACGCACACACACATCACCAGTCAGGCGCTTGCCGCGCCACCGTCAAAAAAAAAAAAAAAAAAAAAAACATTTTGTGTTTTACACGCACTTCACGCGAACACGCACTCACACGTTTTCCACTTTACTGTTCGAAGAAAGAAAGGTCTGGTAGTAAATTGCCAGTTTCGCCACCAGGGGAAACGTGCCCTCGGCCAAGTCTATCCAGTGGCGTCGGCGTCGTTTAGATATTTTCTGTCGGCCCTTCGTTGCGCTGGACACTGTCGGGGTGTTTGTCCACCTGCCAGCACAGTCTGTCCCAGAGTTTTAGACGTCGCTTGGCACTCTCGGTGTGTTCGACTCGGGTGTCGACGGGATCATCTGGGAGACCCAGATATTCCGCCAGGTTTATCTTGGGTAGGTCCCTCGCTCCGAGTCGCGGGCAATCCATCAGGATATGTTGGATGGTTTCTTCCGTGGCCCCGCATAGGCGGCACGACGGGTCCGTGTCGAACAGTTCCCAATGCCGCTTCCGCGTGGGCAGTGACCCCGTCCTGGCTTGGAACAGGAGGGCGCTTTCCCGGTCGCCCCTGTAAAATGGCTCACGGTCTGGAGCCTGCTTGTATTCGAGGTATAACTGTAGGCTCCTTTTCTTTGCCGCCGACGTGCGCCACATCTCTGTGCTGGCTTCGGTTATAGTGTTTTTTGTTATTATACGCCATTCTCGTTCCGATTTTGCTTCTTCCAGTTTTGTGTTATGGCCGAATTTATTTTCCAGAGAAGCCAGTCGTTTCATCCACTGTGTTTTTATGCCCCTGTATCGAAGGTGTAGGTATATGCGCTGGCTGTAATTTGTTTCTGGTAGAAACTTTAGCCGGCCCGCATATTGTATTTTTGACCTTGCTTCGCGTGCTTCGAAAGTTGACCAGGCCAACTCCCCTGTTACTGCTGCGTTTGCTGTTGCAAAGCTGCCTCCCAGTAGCCAGCGCCCCAGTTCATTTTGGTGGCGGTCCAAACATCGCACTGTTTGGGTAGAGTACGCCAATGTGTCACCTGCGTAGGTTATTGCAGGCACGGCAAGAGTCTTCCAAAGTGTGCGGCCTACCCTGTAGGGGTTGTAGGAATGCCGTGACAGGAGCCACACCCTACCTTTTAGGCGGTTGGATTGTTTTAGGAGTAATTCTTGGTGTTTGTCAAGGTAATTCTTTTGGTCTGATATTGTTATGCCTAAATATCTGTATGTTGCTGTTTTCTTGATGGTGTTGCCTTGGATGGTGAATGTTATGTCTTTGTCATCAATGTTTATGCCCATCCATTGTGTTTTGTCAGTGTTGAATGTGAGGCAATCTTCGTGGGCTACGCGAGAGCATATGTCGAGGAGATGTTGCAGGTCCGCTGGGGATTCAGCCAATAATACGATGTCATCGGCAAATGCCAAGCATGAAATTTTAGTGTAGATTTCTTGGCGCTCAGTTGTTACGGTGGAAAGACGTAGCCCTGGTCCTTCTCTATTTACTTGTTCTAGTAGGCTGTTAATGTAAATATTGAATAATGTTGGCGATAGTGGGCACCCTTGTTTAAGTCCAATATTTTGTTGCACCTGTCTAGATTTATATTTGCCCAGTTCATACACTGCCGTACACTCTGCATATAGTGCTTTTAGTAATTTGATGAAGTCTTCCTCAATATTAATTTTTTCTAGCTTCTCCCACAGTCGTGAGTGCGGCACTGAGTCATATGCTTGTTGTAGATCCAGGTATGCCAGGTATAGTTGAGATTTGTCTCTGTTTTTCATTTCTATTGCCTGGGTTAGGGTAAAGATATGGTCACTTGTCCGTCTGTTTGGGCGAAATCCATTTTGCGATTCTGACAAGATTAAGGTTTTTTCACAGTGGTTTTGTAGCCTGCGATTCAGGATTGTATTGAAGAGTTTCAGAATGCTACTCAGTATTGTTATGGGGCGATACGCCCCAATGTCACTTGTTTCCTTTCCCTTTCCCTTGTGAATCAGCTTTACCCGGCTTTCTTTCCAAGTTCTTGGTATTTTTCTGCTTGCCAGAATGTCGTTGAGGCAGCCGCGTAGCATTTCCTTTGCCTCTGTTTTGAATGCTTTCAGGAATTCGTTGGGTATATCATCGAGTCCTGTTGCTTTCTGGTTTTTTAGATCATTTATGCGTCTCTTTAGTTCTAGTTTAGAAATTGGTCCAGTCAGCTTTTCTTCTTCAGGTGTGCTGGTCTTGTCCTTTTTTCTACTGCTGATCTGGGGTGGTGGATCTACTGGATTGGTTTGCATATTTTTAAAATGTTTAGTTATGTGCTGTTC